GGTCCGTCGATCGACGGGGGAGACCCTTTTTCTCTTTTGCTCTTTGTTGGGCGCGCGTCGAGCTCCCTACTCTGGGAATGGATCTTTGGGCTCGCCCCGGAGCGAGAGGATCAAAAATTGGAGCCTCTGGTGGTTCCTGGGGGCAAAAAAAACTTGAAAATAAAGCCTGGTCCTGTTGGGCAAGGTGTGTGATAAGGGACCTTTGTGGGTCGCCGAGAGAGGCTCCGACAGGTAGCATACCTGCTTTTTGGTGGAGGAGCCATTGATGTGATGAAATCATATAAGAGGTATGTAGGTATGATAATGATGTGCTTCGCCTCCCCTTACCGTCATGGCCCGTCCTGCTGTCGTTATCGGCCGCGCGTGGGCTGGTTGTTTAGGTTGGCTTTCGTAATGCACTGGCGATCTCGGCGTGGTGTTTTGGTCCGGCGACCGGTTAATTTGAGTCACCCTGTTCAACCAGCCGCCAAAGTCTCTCTTTTCTCTATGACTGCTCGGCCGAAACTTGCCTGATGAACATGATTTTGCTTTTCTTACACTCTCTCGCTTCGGCTGGCACCAGGTGAGTTCTCGTCCGTTGTCGGGTCCCCGTCGTGTCTCATCATGGCTGGTCCCTGCCTCTAGATTGGCCCGGATAAAGTCGACAACCTGCAGTTTTTATCATGACGGGCTCGGATTACCCATTCTGGGAGGGTGTACACGCAGAGTGAAAGATGAAGAAAATCTTGCCTTCTCCCAGCCAGTTGGTACTGCAAGATCCAGGCCCTGACCTGGTCCCCTGAGCTTCCAGCGGGCTTCTTCCGCCGCCAGCCAACCCATCCAACAGCGGCTTCAGCGCCACGTGCGGACCTCGACGGCGTCCGCCTCGGGCGCGAACTGCCCTGTGCTTCCAGGGGACGGGAAGTGCTGGTTGCTGCAGCCCTGCAGCGATCAACAGGGTGATGGGTGCCCTGAGACAATGCGACACGCACTTCAAGATTTTGTCGTCAACACCAGCGAGATGCACGGCTGGCAGTTGATCGGCACTGTTGGTTTCCTAGATTGATGTGACGGGACGTGCATCCTGACGTGCAGTCGCGGATGCTGGTATCTTTTTCTCGGCGGTCACTTCAGATGATGCAATGGTGTCCGGACTACCCTGACGTCTCTCGTCTCGTCTCGTATTCGACAGCTGTGGGCAGGTTTTCTGTTGTTTTAACGCGTAATGACAAGCTCACCAGCTCTTTGCATATCAACCGGCGGAGGTGACAGCTCTCAAGTTGATCCCCCTGCAGACCCATATCTCGGTTTTCCCAATTCTCCCTTGTTCCCGTTTTTTTTATCATCACATGCCAAAGCTTAGTGTGAGAGATGGAGGCTCTTGCTCTTGGTGAAGGGGCCAAGAGCAGGGGAGAGATAGGATGCATCCATTGATTGAGGCTGTAAAGAGGAGACGGAGTAGCTCTATCCGGGACCGGCCGTTCCGGAGCATCCACTTTGAGGTGCCCAATAGCTCGGAGATGGAGGCATCTAAGCTCGAGCTAGTATAGAAGCTATGATGTTCTAGATAATTTCATCGTTGCCTTGTCCCTGGGTGGCTATTCTTGGAAAGAGATTTCATCGTCTCAAGAATGTATCGAGTATAGTGCGAGGCACAGATAAAGAGTGAGTAAGCAGGGAAACAAAAATGGAAACGTTTGACTTTTTTTTACTGGGTCCTCTATTGATATCAACAACCTATCGATGATCAAGGTGAGTCGGAGCAAGAGTCATTCAACGCCACACCCACACCAACCACACCGAGAGGAGACGGGAGATAGACGCCCAGCGATAAGCGCGCCCGCTGCGCTACTGTAGGATACCGCTTGACTCCTGACCAGACTATTTACTGCACATCCATACCTACCCGGCAGATCTCAACAATATCCCGTCGTCGTAATCGCCCCATCTTCGGCATAAACAACGCACTACTCCGTATACTACACAAACAATCATGGCCTCACCTACCAAGAGATCCCAGGGGTCCGTGGCTATACTCCCCGACCGCATCGTCCCTATGCGCGTCATCGTCTGCGGCGTGCATCGCACAGGCACGCTGAGTAGGTTTTCACCGTCCGCTCACCGAATCACGCAATGCCCAGGGGTGTCACAAAGGGGTGTGCGATGGATGTGTGGCAGCCAACACGTCCTCCTTGCATGGATAAAAGCAGTGTGGCCACCAGATAAGGGGAAGGCGAAAGAAACAGAGATCTGAGCTGACTCGTTTCGGATCCGCAGGCATTCGCAGTGCCCTGTGGCAGTTGGGCTTCCACGACTGCTACCACATGCACTCGATGATCCAGGACACATCGCAGGCCTCGGAATGGGTCCGGGCGTTTGAGGCAAAGTATGCCGGCCGGGGCACCTTTACCCGTGCCGACTTTGACCGTCTCCTCGGCGACTGCCAGGCCGTGTGTGATGCGCCTGCCGCGTTCCTCGGCCCCGAGCTCGCGGAGGCCTACCCGGAGGCCAAGGTGATCATCCTGAACCGCGACCCGGAGAAGTGGTACGACAGCGTGCTCAACAGCATTTATCTCATGACCAAGCCGCAGGGTTTGGGGCGGAAGCTGTCCATGATCTACTCCTTCATGTTTGATACCAGTCTGCGCAACATGGCTGGGTATAGTAAGGCTCTGAGGCAGTATGTGCTAAAGTACGATCACGGTGAGGAAAAGGACAAGGCTCTGGCATGGTACAAGGCGCAGTACGATGAATTCCGTGAGCGCATCCCCGCCGAGCGCCGCATAGAGTATACCATCACAGACGGATGGGCACCCCTGTGCGAGCATCTAGGAGTCCCCATCCCCATGATCGAGGACCTAGAGATGGGCAAGATGGTGGAGGCGCCATTTCCCCGCCTTAACGACCGCGAGATGTTCAAGGCGAACAGCAAAAGGATGGTAAAGAGGAGCAGGGCGAGGGCCAACGATAACCTCCTCTCGGCGGTGGGGAGGCTGGCGCTGCTGGGCGTCGCGGGGTACGCCGGGTATCTTGCTTGGAGGACCCGACTCGGCGGACGAGTCTAGCCTGGGGCTTAGTCGGACTTCCCAACTTCCCCGGGCTGGCTCGCAAAGGATCCGTGCAGCCTTTTGACCAAGTAACGAGTCAAGGCTGAGTATAATCAGGGAAAGCCTGCGGGGAAGGATGGCCATCTGGAGGTAGTGTAAGATAGGCTTGTGTGTTCATCTCTACTTGGTACTTGATTAACTGAGAGTCATGCCACCAGCGTTGCAGTTGTCATGAATCTTGCACGACGCAATCTCCACAGCCTGATGATTCCTTTGTCGTGAAAAGATGAACTGACCGCCGGCAAAGGGAACTAGGGTAAGTGCCGGAACATGGAATGCGAGATGCACAGATGGGCAAGGGCCCTGGATGAAGGAATCCGACATCATCAGAGACGACTCTTTCAATGCAATCTGAACAAAGCAAGATGCGAGAGAACCCCCCACGTCTCTGGGCAGCACGTGAGGAACCCCGGCTGCAGTGGCCCGTGGCGTCTGGCTCTTGTCCCATGGCCACGGGCCTCGGTCTGTTCGGAAGCCCATCCATCCCATCACATCGAAGGACGCAGCTGTGGTCGATCATATCACATGGCTTGAAGATGGGCAATCTTCCATCAATGGGAGTTTTTCAATTCATCTCGCGAGATCTGAATCTGTGTTCAATTCGAGAAGCTGAGTAAAAAGTGTGGCGAGTGTGTTGCGTCGCCGCCATCATCGTAAGTTACTGTACCTCCAAGTGACCTTTGATGAAGAACCCCCCACGCTCTTCTCAATCAACAAATTCACCCTTCCCAGCACTTTTCTACTTCCTTCTTCCATGCCTGGTATCAAGTCCGGCGCAAGCAAAAAAAGACACCACCCATGCGCCCCATGCTAGTCTTCTCCCCCCCTTTACCTTTCAAGTTACACACAAGCCTCCAAGGCCAGGGAAGCGAAGCAAGCTGGGCGTGCCAATTCAGGGCTGTCATTGGTTGACGGATGGAGCTGACACTTCTCTCCAGGCGCTGGCTGGGAGAAGAAGACGTGGGGGTTCCCCTCCCCCAGCATGACCTTGCCTGATATACACGGCTTCTGTTTGGTCAATTAGGGAAAATGGGCGTCGGTCCATTGGACGCCTAGGGGACGGCGGGCTCTGGGTTCGGGGGGCGCCTAGTCTACAGAGTTGCGTAGCGTTGCGTCGACAATGACCAGTTTTGGAACTTGGAGGGTGAGAGCCTTGATCAGGAGACGTCGCTCTCGGACGGTACCTGCTTCTGTCGTGCTGATCATGATTGTTGGTGGAGGGCGCCGTCGGTCTCTGAAGGCTGCCTGTCAAGCCTCCTACTTACGCAAGTCAGACAGCTCGGGCTCAGCTTTTGTGTAACCATTGGCATGTCTGCGTCCGCACTCCTATCGTTCTGGGCACTCTCACGAGGTCATCCGCGTGCTTGTACATCCTTTTGTTTACAGCTTACACGCACACATACGAGAATCCGTCCCCGACATTTTGTGGGCTCATTGTTCGACAACTGGTACCCCCACTGAGAGACTCCATTCGGGGCGGTCTGCCCAGTCTTCTCTTTCCTCTTTGCGCGCGTGCTGGTTCTCGGGCGAGCAAGTCTGGCGATTACCGGTGCGGCCCGGAGGCACTCGGCCGGAGGACGGCGTGGCCTGGCCTTTTGACTCTACTCTGCCTCCCCCGCTTGACCCAGGCATCCGGTGGCTTTCCTGGTGATCAGAGCTAACCCCCACGCCAAAAGGACCCCCCCTTGTCTGCGCCTGGCTGGCTCGTGTGAGCATCCATCTGCCGAGTTGACACCGCTTAGACCAAGGCTTGGGACTCTCTGGCTAAGCAAAGCCTCATGACGAAGGCCGCCTTTCCAACTCCGTCCTACTTTTCCAAGGGCTGCCCTGGTCTTGCGGTGGACATAAAAGAGCAGCTGACGCCCTTTTGTTTGCCGAGATTTCCTTATCATACCATCTTGTTTAACTTCCCTGTCCGCTTAAGCATCTGTTGTTGCGTATAAGACGACGACATCCCCCCCCAATTCATATACAACATCACATCTCACTTCAGACTTCATGCCTGCTACACTCCTCACATCTCCCACCATGGGTTCACCAAAAGCTCCTCAACTACGACTCGGCGACGGCGTCTACGTCCCCACCCTCGCCTTCTTCACCCCCGATGACGAGGTCGACTCCCCAGCCCTGGAGAAGCACATCATCAAGCTCCTCGAAGCAGGAGTCGCTGGTATCGTAGTCCACGGCTCCAACGGCGAATGTGCCCACCTTTCACACTCTGAGCGAACCGCCATTATCCGCGTCGCCAGGGATACCATCCTCCACGAGTCAACCGGCGCTCGCATCCCCCTCATCGCCGGCTGTGGTGCTCAGAGCACCAAGGAGACGACTCAGCTGTGCGAGGACGCCGGCAAGGCGGGCGCCACTCATGCCCTGGTTCTCCCTCCCAGCTACTACGGCGGCTTGCTCCCCGACGACCTCGTTGTGCAGCACTTTTATGACGTGGCCGACAAGAGCCCTATCCCTCTTCTCGTGTACAACTTCCCCGGCGCCGCTGCCGGCCGCGATCTTTCCTCAGACACCATCCTCAGCATCGCCAAGCACCCCAACGTGGTGGGCGTCAAGCTGACGTGCGGCAACACTGGCAAGCTTGCCCGCATCGTGGCCGACTGCCCCGAGGGCTTCTTCGTTGGCGGCGGCAGCGCAGACTTCATCCTCCAGGGTCACGCGGTGGGCGCCAACGGCACCATCTCGGGCCTCGCAAACCTGTGCCCCCGCGCATGCGTGCGAATCATGGAGCTCGCCGACGAAGGGCGCTGGAAGGAGGCCCGACAGCTGCAGGCGCAGGTGGCCAAGGCCGACTGGACGGCCATCAAGACGGGCTTCGTGGGCGTCAAGGCGGCGCTGGGCCACTACTTTGGCTACGGGGGCGAACCTCGAAGACCCTGCGTGGCGCCGTCGCAGAAGGAGCTGGACGTGATCGCCCGGGGGTTCCAAGAAGTCATGGAGCTGGAGCCTACGCTTTGATTTGATTTGACATGAGCAAAAAAGTCTTGTTGACGGAGTTGCATCGGGTTAGCGATGATGATACCTAGATCAAGCACAAGATGGTGTTGTGGCGTTGGGCATGGGCACATGCATACATATACACAGCCATGGGATCGATCATCTGGCCCAGCTGTTGTACATTTTATTACGAGCGATATTTCTTTAATAGTCTTTTGGAATGAATTTGGAAATGATGTTCAATGATATTCAATTGATGACTCTACTCTTTAAAAACTGTCTATCTTGCTGCAAAGTTGCCACACCTCACATCAACATCTGCACCTCGGACTTTGGTACTTATGTTTTCGTAACTCCTTTTTCTGGGGGAGGCGGAAAAGACGACGCATGATTCTCCACGTTTAGACGCAGACGCAAGCAATAAAACCCCGACAATGGATGTGAGCGGCACAGTCAAGTCACGACCCCAGCGGCTGTGCAACCAATATTTGAGTGGCTGGGGCCATGATCAGCAGACAAGGCACGCATTAGGTTGCCTCTTTTGGGGAGTAAGTTGAAAAGTAAAACCGGTAAAGGCCGGCAAAGAGAACAAAAAGAACGCACGAGGCCCAGAGTCGGACGTTTCATTTGAACTCGAGTGGTTGAACGATGATGACGAGGAGGGACACAAAGCATCGTGGAGAACCCCGCATGTAGTGCAGAACAGGGATCCCTTGAAGGAATGGGTCTGGACAATTATGTAAACTGGGGCGAAGAATGGGCAAGTAAGAGGCGAGGGATTCGTAATTCTACGCTGGGGCGAAACATTGGGGATTCTAGAGTGATTTTTTTCATGCTCCCCCACGGGTAGAGAGAAGACAAGGGATTGAAGCATCTTGAGATGGTGATCCTGGACGTGGATCTCTGCGTCGGAGAGTTGCTACATAAAACAGGCTTGAAAAGAGGAGGGTAGTAAATGATGGCAAACAAAAAGAATCAGCCTCAATTTACAAGGATTAATCAAACACAAAAAGTGTCAGCTGGCCTCGGTCTTGGCACATTGGGGGCAGCAAAAAAGAAAGAAAACCGGTATTGATTTTGAGGCTGACTGAGACTCCTCGGGAATAGGCAATCGTCGGCATCTGAGTGTTGGGGGAGAGAAGAGGAGAAAAGTGTGGAGAAGACATGAAAAAGGTGGAGAAGTGGAGATTTTGGACGTGGGGGTTTCCATCGCCAAGTTTTCTAAATGTCTCGGATGGATTTGAGGCTTTTGTAATTGATCATCACGAGAGTAACAGTACCTGACTATCAATGGTTACATGCACTAGTCTACAGCTCCGCCAAGTCCAGGTTCCGGATCAGATCATAGTAAAACTTGACAATGTCCAGATGCGAATCCATCCTCACCCTCTCGTCCACCGTGTGGATGTTTTCCGAACCACGTTGTCGGGATGGCGTCCAACGGTAAATGTGTGGCGAAAGGTCTGCAAGTCTGTTAGAATTTTGCAAGATTAAAAAACATGCATGAACTGGAAACTCACTCAGGTAATGTCTCGTGTCAGTGTTGCCAGTCATCACCTCGCCAACGGGGACTACTCGTCCACCGTCAAAGGCAAAGGTATGCTGGATCGTTCCGGAAAAGATGTCCCAGACTGGTCCGCTTGTAGGTGACACGGGGGTAATGTCAAACTTTTCTGCTCCTTTCAAAATGAGACGACCGTCATAGTCTCCAACTGGTTCGGCGTTCAATCCAAAGATAGCCTGGTACTCTTTATCGTCTGCGTACGCCTCCACACTAAGGTTGTACTTGTTCACCACGCCTGAAATGCTCTCGATGAAACGGCGCTGCACCCCGACGATACTGTCCTGAGGGGCGATTCGGTAGTTTACCCCAAGAGTGACCACTTCAGGGAGGGCGTTGATCTTTTGCCCACCTTGGATAATGTCGACGGCCTGCGTCGTCTGAATGAGGAACCGAGCCGTGGGGTTCACGCTAATCAACTCCGAAGTGAGCTTGTCGAGATCACCCTTCTTAAGCAGGTCATTGAGCTTGGGCTCGGCATCGGGGGAGTACCTAGCTGTACAAACAAGGTGGTTGTACACTGGACTACCCTCGAGGACCTTTGGCTCGTATGGGTGAGCTTCGAGTGCTGAGATGATCTCTGCCGCGATGCCGATGCCCGTGTGTGGCTGGGGAATGGAGCTGTGGCCGCCCTTGGTGTGTAGTTCTGCCCAGATGTCGATGTGGCCCTTTTCCATTACTGCGGGGAGAACGTAGAGTGTGTTGTCGATGAGCTGGATTCCTGAGCCGCCTTCGTCGAGGATCAAGGCGATGCTGTCGTCTCCATACCGCTGTGTGAGGAAGTCGCCGATCTTTCCGGCACCGCGATACCCGGAGCACTCTTCATCAAAGCCAAATGCCAGCAGGAGAGTGCGCTTCGGTTTCCAGTCGGTCTCTGTGAGGAGTGTCTCAATTGCTGAGAGGAGAGCAGTCAAACTGTTCTTGTCATCAGATGAACCACGGCCCCAGAGCCATTCGCCGTCAAAGTAGGCGTCAAAAGGTGGGTGAGTCCATGTTGACGGGTCAGGAACGGGGACAACGTCTTGGTGAGCTGCGAGAAGATATGGCTTAAGAGTCGAGTCGCTCCCAGCGAGTGTGTACACCAAGCCGAATCTATTGACCTTTTCAAGCTTGGCGTGTGTGTGGCTGGCAACTGATTAGCTACTGGACGTGAAAGCAAAGAGCACCACTCACATTGCAGGATACGTCCCTGCCAAAACATCATGCAAAGCGTAAAACGGCTCCCACCGCTCATCTCTGTCAAAGTCACCCAGGTCATCGTAGCAGATTGACGGAACCCGCACGACGGCCTGGTGCCTTGTGACCTGCCTCAGCAAAGCATCGTGAGATGAAAACAGACTATCGGCCGAGGGAAGTCCGTCACGGGTGGGGTTGAGCGCGGGAGGGAGATCACACTGAAAGCCGCCTCCTCCCAATGGTTTCTGGACATCAGCGCCAATTGCAAAGGCCGAGGCGACAGTTGCCAGCGCGGAAAGCGATTTCATCACCATGGTTGCGCACTACTTTGGAAAGTTGGTTGAGATAAAGGAATGTAGGATTGTGTCTCTCGGAGATATAAAAGAGGCTGGTGGGGGGGACAGTTTGTTGCCAATAATGGGAATGCATTGCGACATGGCCGGAGCCGGAGTCCGGGGGGGATACCGTTTGACCCGATACGGAATCCGTTTTTATGTCTCGGGATGCAGATGTGGATGCCGTTGATAGGCGAGGACAAGAGGTTTGATTGGTGGGTGCATCTTGACCGCTGATAGTCAACTACAGTACATGATCTACATGATCGATGAAAGAATATTGCCATCTTTTGCGTATTGTAATACTGCGAGTGGTGATTCTTGGAGGTCATGTTTTTCTTCACTGTCTTCCGTTATTCCCTCCTGCTATCCATCACCAGCAACCAATGTCATACATCCCTCTCCCTCACACACACGATTCAGTCCAACTCCCAACTCCCTCGCACAATGTCACATGGGTATCCCATACAATCAATGTAGAAACCAAGAATAAAAAGTCCTCTGCTCGGATACAACAGCTGCTCACAACTTGCTCAGATTTAGGTTGCCAGGCGCGTACCCAAACACGGCCTGCGCCAGCTCTCGAAGCCTATGAATGCACTTCCGGTCGCCGTCGTGATGATGGATGATGGATGGCTTGTCCAGAGCGTCTAAACTCGCTAGGTCATAGTATGGCTCAAGCTTGCAGAGATTCTCGCACGCCGCCCTCTTGGACTTCCACTCGATGGGTAAAAGGCCCGGAGTCTCTTCAGCCAAGTCGAGATAGTGCTTGAAGCCGGCCATATCCTTATTCCAATCCCGGTAAAAAACGTCGAGGCGAGTTGTTGGTCGACTCTTGATATCCTGCATGCGAAGGCGGAACGAGTCGATCAGGTAGCCGAAGACCTCTGTGTCGGGCATGTAGTGAAGCCAGTTGACGTTTGGATAGCCGTACCCAGAGCCTCCCGATGGGATCTCAGGTGCTGGCCACGGGATGTCTTTTGGATGAGGACGGCTTAAGTTCCTGTAGCGAGGTGTTGAGACTGCGTCTTGAGGGGGTTGGACAGGAAGCTTGCGCAACAAGACAGGGGCGCGACACGACGTGGTAGTGGGAGGTCTGTACATGGCAGGTCGAAGTCTCGGAGTGAAGATGGGCATAATAGTGTTAGGATCGGGAGGTGGTTCGCAGATGATAGGATTCGAATAGCCACCGTAAGGCGTGAACCCTCGCTCTTGACCGTGCTTCCACCAGCACTCTTTGGTACAGTAGATACTGCGCTCGCCGAGATGGTCTCTAAACTTCTCTCCGACTGGGGCGATGCAACCAGCACCACATTTCTGGCACCAGGTGTAAATGCCTTCGAGAGCCCCTTGGCTAGTCCGGCTCGGCAGGGACAGCATGATAAGAAGATGTCGTCGATGGGCGAGAACAAGTATAGGAGCGCCAATAGAAGATACGAGACAAACGGGTTTCGGTGTTACTTTTGACTGCATTTATCAGAGATGTGAAGCAAGGATGCAGTCGAGTTGGTGTTGCTTTTGTGAGAGAGAGAGAGAGAGAGAAGAAAAGGGAGGCGAATTGGCTGTTCTTATTGTTGACAGCAATGGTCATAAACTACCTTTGTTTATGTTCTAAAACATGATTCTTTCATAATTCATCCTGATGCAGCAGTAAATCCAATTTTCCCAAAGTGAATAGACCAAAATCACAACAAAAGAGTTCATCCTTCCATTGTGCACCAACCCCAGATGCAGCTCAAAACTCTCAATACGTGAGCTATTCCTTCTCGATATCCTCGATTCTCTTTCCCAGCCAGGCCTCAAATGCAGAAAATTGAGCGATATTGTTTCGCTCTCCGCAAAACTCCTTGAGGGCTGTGGCCTGCTCCTCTACCCAGCGGCGCTGGAGGTTGATCTTCGATCCGCTGCCGAGGAGAGGGCCGAGCTCCCATGACAACTTGGTCGTGCAAATAGGGCAAAGGTATGGAGGGATGTGGCTCTGTTGTCTGGTGCTGGAGACGCCTTGCATGATGCATGCGTAGTAGGTGCAGTGTTCCATGCCGAAGCAGTAGCCTAATCCACGAGAGACTGCAAAAGCGACACGGGCGAGCCACACCCCGGTCAGTTCGTCAATGGTCTTTGGCTCGGGGGCTTCCTTGTATGCTTCAATCGCAGCGGGGAGTGCCGAAATAGACTTGGGGGGTTTGTCGGAGTCGAGGGGCTCGTCGTTTGACATCTTAGGTCGCTTCGTCGTCTGGATCTCTTCCTCCTGAGCAATCAAGTCATCGGCGTAGACCTTGCAATGGCTAGCAGGCCACATGTGCTCTCGATCAATATCTTGCATCTCGTCCAGGGCGGGATGTAAGCGGAACGTAGACACGAGGACGATCCGGGAGCCGCCATATGCTTTCGTGACAGTAAAGTTGTTATTTTCATCATCGCTGAGATCGTACAAGTCAAAGTCAACCAGAAGAACAGTTGCGTGTGCTTTGGGAGGCATTCTGTTCAAAACGGCGTCTAGGAGGTCGGGGCCGTGGACCTGCATACGTGAGACGCCATCTTTTCCTGGACGGTATCTGATGAGGAAGAAGTCGCGGACGGTTGGGACCTCTAGGCCGATATATGTCTGTCCCTCCTTTGGCGGGTTGCCTTTGTATGGGCGCCACTTGAGCTGCATCCGAGACTGCTGAATAGTCATAGGATGGTAAAACGCCGCGAGGTAATCGTTCAAGTCTTTCAACTGAGCCGATGAAGCTGTCCACTTTGGTAACTCAGGACCAGTGTCTGACTCTGGCACGATAGGCTTATCCCAATAATCGCTATCCTCTCCAATAGGTTCGCTAAAGATGGGTGGAGGAAGAACAAAGATCTTGCTTCTGTCTTCATCGACTTCGTTTCTCGTGTATCCGCGCCATACCTTGCAGCTTTGGTGATACAACGGTATGTCGTGGTTGAGCTGGGTCATAAAGTCGGACGGTAGCACCAAAGGCCCAGGAAACGTCTCCTCGTTCATCATGGCATCTTCAGGAATTGGGAAAGTGTCCCTTCTTCTCTTACCCAAGGTGGAGGCCGCGAGAAGACGTCTCTCGAGGGAGGGTCTCTTGAATCCGATTCGGTCCGCGATGGCGGTACAGTCGGTGTAAAGCGACTCATGTGAACATGGAGTCATCTCTCTCGAAGTGATGCTTTGTTTTTTACTTTGATGCAAAAACGTTTAAAGAGACATATATGCACAATTAAAGTTGATGGAAAAGTTAAAGAGTAGAAGATGTTGGGGGTCTTGATCTCTTTGTTCACAACAAAGGTACGTATGTAATCAATGTGGCACGAAGCATTCATTGGCAGGTTTCTTGAAGACGCTAAGACGGGAATTCACTTGGAGAAACGGGAGGGAAGCAAACAAAGGGCGGGTGTTAGGGGTGTGGGTAGATGCGTTTGCATTCACTGACTTGGCGGTTGATATGTGCAGTCAGACGCTGACAGTGTTTTTAATGTTTACACTGTCATGCACCAAAGGCGTTTTAATATGGATAGTGGGCGATTTATTGTTGAAGCCACACTCACTGACACTATACACGGCCGTCACGCAACATACTTGGTGTCTTGGATGAAGATGTAATGTCGTTAGAAAAACTGTAGAGTAGATGAAGCATAAACTATGTGGCTCGAATTCGGGCATCGAGTTATAGGTAGTCTCGGTGTCCTTTCCCAGCCCCGAGATATCCATAGGCTCAATTGACCTCACCATTACCTTGACCAGCTTATGTCTCGTCTATCTCCTTTTCCTTCTGGGCCTTGGCGGCGGGAGTCTCCGCTTGCTCCTTGGCTTGCTTCTGTGATTTGGGGCGTAGTGTCTATGAATTCAGGGTCTTTATATGAGCTTTGCCACCATTCGAAATCTCTAATCAGCCCCTGTTGGCGTGGGACTCTGAGGATGGCGCCAGCTCGCGTCGGCCGTTGGCACTGCTAGCCAGGTGCACGATGAGATTTCCAAAGAGCGCACAAAATCTCCATCGTGACCAAAAAAATGCCTCCCAATTCTGTTCCCTCACCCTTTCTGCCCCAGGATAATATCACCTCTCTCTTCACCATGCACATCATGCAGCGATGCATCGATCACGACAAGGCTCGCCTCCACCACAACGACAGAACAAGAACCCTCCCTGCCTGGGTATATATCATTTCAACCCACCTTTGAGACCCTCGCCCCAATCACATATCCAGCGTCACGTCTCCCTGCGATCTCGGGCCTCTTCTTCAAGCTTGATCAGTGGCAGCGCACGGAATGGCTAGCTTCTATTGGTGAGCTTTGGTGCCTTCTTTGAACTCGCCGGCTCTTCATTTCTTCGTCATAGGGCGTATCGACCTTCTCGCCCTATGGGCGGGCTGGTCGGTGCGCCTCTTGAAAAAGAGACACGCTTCTCCGACTGACAGAAACCTCGCGGATGTGAAATCTCGAGCTTCTCGCCTTTCCTCGTCACTAGGGCGCATCGGCGGGCTGCTATGGTGCCTTCTTTGAACTTGTCAGCTCTTGCTCATTTGTCACTGGGGCACATCGACCTTCTCGCCCTATGGGCTGGTCGGTGTGCCTCTTTGGCCTCTTCATGGCTCGGGCTAGCCTTTTCATATGTTGGTCGTCTTTTCGGTTTCGTCTGGTGTGGAATCATATCAAGAGGGGAACTTGGTTGCTCTTCATTCGTCACCAGGGCACGTCAACCTTCTCGCCCTATGGGCTGGTCGGTGTGCCTCTTGAAAAAGAGACACGCTTTTCCGACTTGAAAGAAGCTTCTCGGATATGATCGACCTTCTCGCCCTATGGGCTGTTGCTTTGGTGCCTTCTTTGAACTTGGCTGCTCTTCGATCATTCGTCACTGGGGCACATCGACCTTCTCGCCCTACGGGCTGGTCGGTGTGCCTCTTTGATTTTTCCAAGCGCTTGATTTTTCGGCGTGTGCGCCTCTTAAATAAGAGATATGTCACCCTGTCCGACGGCAAAGAAGCTTCTCAGATATAAAATCTCGAACCTCCCACCTTTCCCCAGTCGGTGGCTATCTTGTACAAGGGCCTCTCGGAATGTGTTTTGACATCTGAGACGTCGAAGACAACGTCGCCTTCCTGGCTCGATACGCGCTCCAGCTTGGTCATGATGCCGCCCAGTCGCACACGGTAACTCCCACAGAACCAGATCTCATCGCCACCGCGATTGCTGAGACTGCAAACAGGGCTTTATATAAACCAAGGCGCATCGACCTTCTCGCCCTAGGGGCTGGTCGGTGTGCCTCGTTGATTCTTCCAAGGGCTTGAAATTTCGGCGCGTGGGCCTTGGGAGCAAGAGATACGCCTCGTTATCGGACTCGCCCGCTATGACCTCTCGCCATGGTGCTAACATCCACTCGCCTTCCCGTTACCGCAACGGGAATCACTGCAACTATAACCATGCCTATCACAATGGCATGCTCACGCGCTGGGAACCTCGTCGCCAGCCTCGCACCCATCGCTCTGGTCGTAACGCTGTTAACAACACAAACCACGTTGACCTGCAGGAAGTCATCTCCGGACGTGAAAGAAGCTTCTCGGATATAAAATCTCGAACCTCCACCTTTCCCCAGCACTGAGGTGCATCGACCTTCTCGCCCTATGGACGGGCGCCTTTGGTGCCTTCTTTGAACTTGGTGGTTCTTCCTCCATTCGTCATACCATATCGACCTTCTCGCCCTATGGGCTGCTGCGGGTGCCTCTTGGTTTTTCCAAGCACTTGATATTTCGGCGTGTGGGCCTCGTGAGCATGAGAAAAGCCTCCTTCTCCGACTTGAAAGAAGCCTCTGGGGTGGAAATCGAACTTCTCGTTTTGACCGGTCATCAGGGTGCAGCATCGACCTTCTCGCCCTATGGGCTGCTGCCTCCCTGATTTTCCTCATCATTCGATTTTTCGGCTTGTGGGCCTTTTGAACAAGAGACACGATCTGAGGGCTCAGTTAACCCATCGAGGGCCGGGCTGCAACTATAATAAAGAACAGATCGAACAAGAGACACGCTTCTCCGACCTGATAGAAGCTTCTGGGGTGTGATTCATCGAATCCCTCGGCTTTGCGGCCATCCTCACGCCCCTTTTCACCATCTTTTGGCCCGGAAAGGTTTCGAAGCCTCGTCAATATCACCGGCATATTTCTTCCCGGCCTATCCCATTCCCCATCATTTGCCTCGCGGCCACCATCCCAGCAAGATGCTGTCTTTTTACTCCTTCCCACAAGAAATCCAGCAAATGGTCTTTTCTGAGCTCGCGCCGTCTAGAGATCTCGCCCCCTTCGCATGCGTCAACAAGCACTGGGAAGAATTCTTCGAAGTCAGGACATCTCGACACCTGATCATCAGCCAATACGACATTGAAGATTTCGACATTATCGTCCGAGGTGGGAGAAGAAGTCACGTCAAGCACCTCTGGAAAGCTGACAGGATCTTTACCACGTCAATATTTGACCTCTGGGAAGTCCTCGCGAAATGGGAAGAAGCAGGGTTCCAAGCAGGTCCTTGAGCAGGTTGTTGAGGAGGCTCTTGAGCAGGGCCCTGAACAGGATCATGATTGCAGCCATGAGCGGGCTTAAATCTCGAGCTGAGTGCCCATTCCCCAAGCGACAGGGGGAAACCTGTGCGGGATGACTTTTTTGAGAGAGACGTCGAGATGTACCAGGAGTAACTGGAAACCAACTCTATCGAGCCATATGAGTCATCTGGAGATGTTTACGCGCCTTATTTAAAGGCTTACAAGAAACTTGGCGGTATGTTTGGGACGCAGATGCGGGATCGAACCGTGGCTAACTTGTTCAGATGGAAGCCCCGCGAGTTCAACTTTCACGAGCAAGAGGACATGTCCCCAATTCGAAATGACGAAGCACCAAACATCCCAAGTATTTCATTCATCACCAAATTCTTGATCCGTCGGTCGCAGTTTCGACAAATCTCACCGGCCTCACTCATCGAAACATTGTCGAGCCTGCGCAACCTTGAGCAACTTTTGTCATTGAACAGTAGCGGTACCGCAGGTGTGACTCTTCTGCTATTGCAGCATAAGGTTTCAAAAAAGGCCACTGTGTTAACATCGGGTCATGATGTTATGATGTGTTGAAGATCTGTTCTTTATTATAGTTGCAGCCCGGCCCTCGATGGGTCAACTGAGCCCGAAGATCGAAAGGTGCTGGTGCGTGGACGCTGGAGAAGAGACACTCTAGGCCGGGTTTGCTAAGGTTTTCATCTTGGCCTTGCCGGCGTCTATCAAGACATTGTCTTTGTACGGAGACAAAGTCAACATCTTCCACGTGTGGTCATCCAAGGACGTCAACACCATCGATTTGGCAAAGCATCTACGGGTCTACGGCTTGGTCAAGGGCTCGAAGAAGGGGGGTGGGGGTAGACTTCTGAGCAACCCAACGGAAATAACACAGCCAAAACGGAACTACGGCAGACACCTCGAGAGCATCTCCGTCTCATTCTTCATCGACGCCGAGGACTTTTTCTAGCCGTTCCGGACATCGCAGACAGAGTGCACCACTACTTGGGAGAACATGAAGACCCTACCTCCCGAACCCTCAAGTCATCGTCGAGAAGCCGGATCAACGGACTCCTCTGCGCGGCGGCCAATGCAGCCATGAAGATGCCAAAGCTGCACCTTCTGGAGCTCTGGAGAGGGGCTGAAGGGATGGCCTCCGTGTTTCGATATCGTGTTAGGGACACCGTCACTGAGATTACCGGGCTCAGCACTCACATCACCAAAGTCGACCAGAGGGTGATAAATGCCTGGACCAGCGTGGTCATGACACAGGGGCGACCCGACGTCAGAGTATCGATATGTAAGCTTGATCCCGACAAGACCATATTTGCTGGAACTGCCTTGCGGCATCTATTTCTAAGAGGGCAGATCTTACACCCTGTTTCAGGATACGGGATTGCATGGGAACAGAAGAAGCAGAGCTGAGCTGGATATTTCGAGGGCATGGTACATACATATAGGGCTGGGTTGGATGGGGATGATGATTGATGTATAGGTACTGGCAGGCGAAAGACATTGATACCCGGCATAAATGCCACTGAAATAGACTTTTCAAACGACACTCTTCTCTGGACGTGCCACAAGTGTTGTATTCCTCTCGCGAAGGTGCACCTACCATTACGGGCTTGGACATTCAATAAGCCATCACCTCTACGGCCTCTGCGCATCCGCCTTCGGTTTGAGCAAAAACCCTGTCACCCAACATCTAGCCCAGACTGACTTGTCTCGGCGCTCGTCAGCCGAGTCCTCAGTGTTTACAGAGGGAGTATGCCCGTAACAGCACTCTTGGAAGTGAGTTTTCGGTCTAATGCAAGGATCGCGTACGCCATTCTGATGATTCGGTGGTGACATTGTCCGCGTGATTGAGCTTGGAAGAGCCAGGTCCAGGTAAATTGTTAGGGAAAGTGGGCAAAAGCACAAGGTTGAGAGAAGATGATTGATGGATCATGTTGGTATAATAATGTTTGGCAAGTAATGTAATGAGGCACACTCCTCGTTATTCATAAGCGGCTCAACTCGACAGGCCTGCTCTCCTATAAGAATGTAATGACAATTCCGCCATAAGTAATGCGCCAAACACCTGCATCTGATGCCTACTTTTAATCTTTACACATATTCTTCCCGAGAATCTCCGCCAGAGTGCGAGACATCGCTGTTCCTGGACTTTTCTCCGCCACCGACGGTGCTCATGCGACGGAAATAAGACTCGTCCCTCTGCTCTCGTGTGATATAGCCAGGAGGAGTCCACTTAGAGCTGTTCCAAGGCTTGATATCTTGGCCGTACATGAGATCGACGTTCTCCAGACTGAGCATCCGCGATTCGTAGAGGAAGAACCAGACAATAACCGCAGCGGCCAGGTTTGTTCCGCAAAAGACAAAACCATAGGCGTATTTAATTCCATCCACGGCAAGAGGAGTAAGGAACGCAATCATGACTGTGAGGAGTGGTTAGAATAACGTCGAATAGCACAGACCACTGAGACTTACAGTTTCCAAGCCAGTTGCTAGCAGTAGCAAGAGAAGCTTGCTTCGCACGAGTGCGCAGAGGGAATGACTCGCCAATAACGACCCAAGCAATAGGACCCCATGTACCTGCAAACGAAGCGATAAACATGCACGACGCGACGATCATGATGATGCCCACGGTGCGGTTCTCTGCGGGATCAATGGCAGTTCCAACGCTAGCGAAGATCAGGAGCCAGGCGGACTGCCAAAGAGCACCGATGAACAAGGGCCAGCGTCTTCCGTACTTCTCTACCACGTAGAGGCCGTAAAAGGTCATGACAACGTTGACAGCGCCAAGGATCAGCTGCGTCAAGATAGAATCGATGCCGAGAGACTTGAAAATCGTGGCACCAAAGTAGAAGAAGTAGTTGACACCAGTCCATTGCTGCAGGAAATGGATCGCAATGCCGAGAAAGGTGCGGTAGACGAGCTTGGGGATCTCAGTCTTGGGCACGAAGCATTCAGCCCAGCTTCCTTGGCCAGCCTTGCGCTCCTGGTCGAGAATCTTTCGCATCTCGTTGAGATCATCCTCGACGAGCTTGTTGTTGGGGTCGTTCTTCATGCCACGGAGACGGGCCATTGAAGTTCGAGCGTTGTTCCAATCGCCTCGAGATGCCAGCCATCTAGGGGACTCGGGGACGCAGAGGATACCGATTCCGAGGGGGAGCGAGAAAGCAATTCCGAGGCCAATGACGATTCTCCAAGAGGCGTCGGAATCACCAATGTTCTGAACGCCGTAGTTGATGATGTTGGCGACAAGAATACCGATAGTAATCATGAGCTGATATGAAGCGACGACGGCTCCTCGAATCTCGCGGGGAGAGCACTCGGACTGGAACATGGGAACGCCGACCGAGAGGTTACCGACACCGAGACCGGCGGTAAAGCGACCCATCATCATATGAACCCAAGAGTTCATCGCTGTTATCTGGATGACATTACCAATGATAAACACGATGACTCCGAAAGTCAAGCTCTTCCGTCGACCCCACCAATCCGCCGTGCTATAGTGGTGTAAGTTGTTGGGTCAGCCATCCAGGGGGACAAGACTTACTAGGCACCAGAGAGAGAACCAAGTAGACATCCGATGCTCATAAGAGAGACGACTAGGGACTGGATGATAGGCACCCATTTCTTGTCATCTGCTGGTCCTTGGGCGAATCGGTTGATGAAATCCTCAAAGAGGAGCATTCCAGAAATCTGGCCGGTATCGTATCCGAAGAGGAAGCCGCCGATAGATGTGACGACACCCAAAATGATGGACTCGGCACCGCAGTCGGCGCCGTTGACTTTGATGGACCTGGAGAACAATGCCGTTAGCCATGCCCAGGCGAGACAGGCGGGACAGAACCTACTTTGTGCCCAACATTGTATCCAACGTGTCTCGGCTGATGTCTTGGGAGGAAGAATAAGACTAGATGAATATCTGGTTCCCAATTCCAGAAGATGGAGGCGGGAGAGCGGGTCTATTAATACCAAGACCGAAAACACGTCTGCCTCAAGACATGCAAGTGGAGAGTGTATCACAACCCCGGGGGCACAAAGTTTAGGCACGCCTGCCCCAGCTCCAAGCCTGCCTGCCCCCGTTGCAAAAGTCGGCGAGGCCGACTAGTAGCTGCCAAAGTTGGCCGTGACCGAGCATCATTCGCTAAACTTGGCAGTCGTCATGGGGGAAGGCATCTCCTCCATGGTCGTGTCAGGCGCTGATCTCCAAGAACTGGTATAGGTCACCGTAGCAGGAAGGAGTGCGGAACGGAGGTCCAAGTGGCTGTTGGCCATCTAACGGAGACGAGAAAGGGCCGATGTCAGTGGCGCCGGAGAAGCTTGGGGTGAAGCCGGCTCTGGGGTTTGCTCCACGAAGGAGTCTTGGACAGCAGTTGTGAAAGCGGGCGGTCCCTTGTGCAGGGCCTCTCAAGATGCCATGATTGGACAGGCCTATTGGCTTCTCCTCAATGGGGGCAGTGGATGCTGGGGTTTCTGGGGCTAAGCCAACGTCGTTGGTTGTGTGGGAACTGGAAAGTTCAGCTTGCGCAGGAGATCCTGTGTGTGAGTGGTAGCGATGATGTCATACTTAAGCTTAAAGTCCGATACCCGTCGTCATGTTAAGCGACAGAGATTTCGGTGACGGCATCGCCTCGGTGCCATTTCCGCACAAGCCATGTCGATCTGGAATGGAAGCCGGTGTTTCTTTGTCTGTTCTGGTCTTGCGAGTCACGAGGTCCGTCAGTCGAAGTGGTGTGCATTCGTCCTTGACCGCACGCGCGAGAATCTGGGGATTGTTGCTTTTGGCCAAGCAATTTAGCTGCCCGTTGAACACTCTTGTCCAAGACACGAGTCTCGGCATTACAAGTGGATTACGGTGAAGGTGTCTTGGCTTTTCTGGAGGTGCCGACATGGATTGATCTTCAACGCGCTGTGACGCGAGACAGTGTTGCACAGGCTGATCATTCCTCCTCACATAGTCAGCGTCCATTGACATCCGTCATCAGAAGAATATGCCGATGAACTACTTCTCAAGCTGACAAGAAACAGCCAACAATGGCCGGACTCCGAGACATGAAAAAAAACTGGGCATTTGCGTCACCTCCGACGTCCCAACGGTCCACCCGGGGCCGTGGAGAGGCCGGCCGTTACTCGGACTTTTATGCCTGTCGCTGGAGAACAGAACAGCTCCGGTGCAAAAAAACGGCCCGTTTGCCCTCGAGAATAAAATATCGCATGCCCCTATTTTTCTCCCAGCTTCCCCGGGCGTATCAGTGCGGATCCGGAGCAAGGCACGGGGAGTGATTGCGGCTCTGGTTGGCGATGGCCTCACCACGACTGCGCACGGCGCCCGCAAACTCCAAAGTGACGTGATCCGGACATCTGGGGACTCCATGTTGACTCCATATCAACGCAGAAAAAGGCGGAGATGAGGCCTGTGAAACAGCATATGGTCCACTGGCAAGTGAACGGGCCACTACAGGCGGCCGTAATTCGGTGCGATAGAGTCGTTTGCAGGCAGGCGACATGGTTGGCAAACGACATATCTCGGCGTGCTGAGCATCGTGCATTTCAGCTTATGCTGTCTCATAAGAGTTGTGAAGCCAGTTGATGTCGGTGTGCAAGGCGTCCCAGTCTCTCAACAAGACGGTCAGTAATGGCTGCTCACTCGAGGTTATGGGTCTAGTTTGTCGAGTTCTTATCTGTGAAGAGTTGAACCTCCGCACCTAGCCCTGGAGCTCTCGGCATATTCCCGAGCCATAGCCCCAGGCTTATCAACCCATGGTGTTGAGAGTGTTCGGGTTGAAGAGTTGATGATTCGAGTACTCGCTTAAGATATGTCAACCTCTATCCAGCCTTTCCCACTTCTTATCCTCCATGGTCATTGCGGTCCAAAAGCCACTCGCCCAATTGGCTTGCCGCAAGCGAAAGTAGTGCTCAGTATTTCCCGATGAAGGATTCATGATTGGACAAGCAGCTCGGCTTGCGTATCGAGTATCTGCAGATCCTGTAGGTAGCCGTGCCAGACGTGGCTGTCACTACAAGAACCCAGCCCAGCGATTTGAACGCCAAAATTTAACATAGCATATTAGCCATATATACGATCATAAACGAGACTGTGAGCACGGAGGAGTCTCAGCATCGGTTAGGACATTCTCTTTCTCCCAGTGTGTGCAAGTCTTGAAATCCCGATCTTGGCGTTGAACTGACATGGACTCGTGCTCGGCCTTTCATTATTCCGCTCACCGAGAATAGCTTTCACACCACACCGCTACTGTTAGCAACCATCAAAGAATGAATGTTGACCACAATGTCTCTGCCTTTTTTAGTTTATCGAGATCTTGATGCTTTTGCTCCTCTCTTTGAACTATTTTAGCCAAATAGAACTCACGTGGAACATGATATCGCCTTCTTGCTTGGAGGATTCGTCTCCAATATGAGACGCCATGATAGTGCAGTCCAGCTTTAACTTCGGCCTCACCGGGAAAAGCACACCGAGCCGCGTCCTGGCGTCGAGGCTTGTTTCTCCCTTCGGTCATCTATCGGCATTATCGTGAACAATTGAGTCATGATATTCCTCTAGCCCATCAATTCTCGAGAACAGGCTCTGTTAGATCAATTGCGGCGCTTCATCCATCCAGCCATCATGATCTTCGATTGCGGCACCTGCCAGAGAATGTTCCCTTCGGGATGCAAGGCTCGGAACCAGCATTGCCAGGCGACGGGGCACTCGCCTCCAGCATTCGAGTGTGACACCTGTTGCTTCTATTTTGATGACGAACATGACCGACGCGATCACATGGATCTAGAGAGCCACTGGATCCCAGATGCTCCCGAATGCAGCTTGTGCTACTTCAGGGCGCCAACACTACAAGAGGTCAAGAACCATGAGTTTGGGCATCACTTCTACTGCGGCGAGTGCAATCGCGAATTCCAAAACTTGAACAACATCCGCCAGGTGAACCAGCATTTCTCGTGAAGCAGATAGACACCAATGCTAATGTTTTTAGCACCTGAAATCAAGACGACATCTGGGTTCCGGGGTGACCTGCCCATTCTGCGAAGTCTCTTGTGGCTCGGCCACAGGCTTGGTCTATCATCTTGAAGGCGGTTCCTGTCCTCGAGCTCCCTTGAACCGCGACAAGATGTATCGAGTGATCCGAGAGCGTGATCCCAACGGAGTCATCTCAATCAAGGCTCTTGAGTGGTACGGCGACAGGATCTTCGAGGTCAACCCAACAGACGCGTGGAACTCCCAATGCGAAGCATTCGAATGTTATCTCTGCCATCGGTTATTCGGCACCCTCTACGGGCTGAGAAGTCACTTGGCATCACCAAAACACCAGCAGAAGCTATATCATTGCCCATCTCAGACCTGCCACAAGGAGTTTATCACCCTAGCCGCACTCATCAACCATCTCGAGAGCGAAACGTGCAGATTCATTCGCTTCACGCAGATACAGACAGATATCAAGTATATTGTGTCATCAAACAGGATTATCGAGTTCGGGTCCCGGCCTTTTTAGAGCTGGAATATGTTGACAGGATGGAACAACAGCTGCCATGTTCGACCAAAACACCATGTAGCTTAGAAACTTGGCCCCTCGCTTGTTACCATCTACCGGCATGTTAACCACAGATTTCTAATCAGCCGCAAATTGATATTGCTTCTCCTGGTCGCCAGACCCCAAGTATGTAGGCATACGGATGTCTCCCCGCGAACGAGATATTGGATCTCGACTTGCGTCAGTTGGTGCGCAAGACCACATTCGCTAGTTATAGATTGCATGCCTCTCTGGAAAGATCTCTCGAAACGCCTCAAGAGCTAGGAATTACTACACAGGTATCGATAAGTCCATGGCCCGGTGCCTCCTTCCTTCTGGGTTCGGATACAGCCAGCTTCATGAGTTGCTACTCATCACGTGCTCTCCTCCCTCTCATCTTCTGCACCTGCCCACCTTTCCTCTTCCATCTCCTCTTCTCCTTAAGCTCTCTCCGCCTCACCTTGTACGTTGTGGCAGCTACTGTTCGCCTACTCCCTCAAACTTGTCCGTTCCGTCAAGATGGTCTTCTTTTGTGGAACTTGCTAGAGGCAGTTCCCTGCCGGATGGCACGCCCGAGAGCAGCACTGCGAGGCAACAGGGCATGATGCGCCAGAGTTTGAGTGCGAAGTGTGTGACCGTTACTTTGATGATGACGAAGATCGCAAAGAACACGAGATCAACAATCATCTCTACTGCTCTGATTGCGAGCGCGAGTTTTCTAACTGGAACAATATGCAGCAGGTTTGTTCGCTCCATGTCTTGTCCCTAAACTCAAAGACCTAACAGCATCAGCATCTCAGGTCTTCTCGACATCGTCCTCGACATCATCGTCATCATGATGATCAACGAGGTGTTGTCTGCCCGTTCTGCAGAGCCAACTACCGAACTGCATCTGGTGTGACCCATCACCTTGAGCGCGGTTGCTGTCCGAGAGCACCCCTTGATCGGGATCAACTCTACCGGGAAATCAGACGACGTGACCCAAACGGCTACATCTCAAACAAGTTTCTCGAATGGCATGGTACAACTACCTACGAAGCGACGCAACTCGCCTGGAACCCACGGTACCGGCAGTACGAGTGCTACCTTTGTCACACCTTGTTTCGGCACTTGTCGAGTCTCAACCAACACCTTGAATCCCCACGGCATCAACAAAACTTGTACCACTGCCCAAACCGGTCGTGTTTCAAGGAGTTTACGACGTTGGCGGGGCTGATCAATCATTTGGAGAGCGAAAGCTGCAGCTTCATGCGTTTTGAGGCAGTGCAGAATGGCATCCGAGGATTGGTCTCTTCGAACCGACGGATTGCGTTCTAGTTGTTCAAGGAGATGGACGGTCTCATGGCATCTGAAAGAAGTCTGGGGGAATCATTGAGGCCTGTAATAGTAATACGGAAGCATAGAGTGCGCTTTCAGTGGATGCATTGTCATGCATATGTGCCGAGGTTAGAGCAGGGATATTCAATTCATGTTCAGCTCAGCCCGGAGTCCGAATTCGTGTCTTGTCAAGTTACGCCCCGCGGTATATCAGCTGCGGAATAATAAGACTCATGCTATTGCCGTACAAATGCCGTCGTTGACGCATGACCACCACACATTAGTCGCCGAACGGTTTTATCTATAACCCGACAACTAAGAAGCCAGGGATCCGGCCTGACAACGTTGCAACGACAAGAGACAGAAAATGGAGACATGCTAGCGGGGGACAAAAAACACCGAACTCGCATCCAGAGCCCTGTGGTTGAACCAGGTTTGGTGTTTTTGTCCCCCGCTGGACATGTTAATCGAGTCAATGAGACCCAGTTCTCTCACAACTAGACTAGTTCTCATACACCAGCAGGGTTGCAGTTTTGAGTCAAGAATTTGCCATGAATGGGTCAATAGTCGGAATTAGCCGGCCACTGTGGGCTGTTGAATCTCCTTTCTCTGGATGTGGCGAATGGCGACACGACGGTGACAAACAACTTGAGTCGTAGCAAAAGGGGTCAGAACACTCCGAGTTTTCCGTCTTGTCGACTTGAATCAAGTTATTCAGTCCGCGGTTTCTGATAGCCAAAACGGGTATTGATCTGAGGGACAAAGACATTCAAGGAACGATCTCATCGGCGACCAAACTTGGCTACGAATTGACTTTGGCGCCGTCTCCGGCGGAAGCTTCTAGCTCCCGCGCGCCACAACGGAGGGAGTTTCACAAGGGTAGCTTGGGTTGCGGTAGAGGGAGCGGCAGTTGGGTTTCGCGGCTGAGTGGCATATTGTACCATGATAAGGTTGTGATTACGGAGTGCATGGAGAGGAAACATGATGGGTTGTTTGGTTTGGAAAGATTCAAAGCTAATGATTCAAGCTATCCAACAAGGTTTATCCCCTAGGCGTACTTCTTGACCATCTTCAGGATAGCCTCCTCGGTCTCCTTGGGGCTGGTCGCACTCAGATAGTGGCCGGCACCATCAACAAAGGTAATGGTAGCCTCGGGGCTAGAGGTGAAGAGCTTGATATGCTCAACAGGGACATTCTTGCCGAACACAGGGTCCTCGGGGCCCTAAGTGTGCGTCAGTATATGATCCATCATATGATATGAGCGACGAGTGACATACCTGAAGCCAGTAGACAGGGCACTTGACATCACGAAGGCGGAGCAACAGGCCATCACGCTCGAGGAGGTTGGCCACGGCAGTTCGGAGCTTCCTACGGCCCTCATCACCACTGTACACCTGCTTGAGGGTTTCATCCCAGAAGGAGAGTGTTTCAGCTGAGGGGTTGGTGCCAAAGCCTACGGAGGAGACCAGGCCACGCCAGACTTGGTCGACGACAAAGTCTGGGGTGGGAGTAGCGCTATCCCAAGATTCGTAGAAGGGGCGGAGCGACGTCTTGGGGTCCCAGCAGCCCTTCTCGCGGGACTCGGAAGACTCGTAGTCCATAGAGGTACCGAGGGGCAGGAGGCCGAGGATCTAAGTGGGTGAGCTACCAGTTCCGCTTCTGTACTAGGAACCGTCCCCGGGAGAACCGGCGTGTAACAAAAGAGACGTACCTTTTCAGGGGCCAGGAGTGCCATACGCACGACGATCCAGCCGCCTTGGCTGGTGCCGAGGGCAAAGGCCTTGTCGATGCCAAGGGCCTCGAGCACCTGGAGACTCATGATGGCCGAGTCCCAGTAGGTGAAGTGATCCGAGGGGCTCGAGGTGGCGCCATGGCCAAGAGGCTCGATGGCGAGCAGGTTAACGGCGTCGGTCAGGGCCTTGCTGCTGAACTGGGCGTCAAAGAGGGAAGAGGTGGTGCACATGGAGTTGACGAGGACGACGGTAGGCTTGCTAGGGTCGACGGCATCGCCCGAGAGACGGTAGCCGGCCTTGATGCCGCCCAGGTGGGGAACAACGACTGTAGTTTTGGCGGCCATGGTTTGATAACTGGTTGATGAAGATCTCCTAACAAGCGAAGACTTGGTCTGAAGAAGGAAAAAGAAAAAAGTGTATACGGTACGAGAGAGGAGAAAGCGAGGAAAATGTCCCTTCTCCTCTTGGGGCTAAGCTCGCTATGTACCAACTCCATTACCTAGGTCAAAAATCCACACTGGTGCGTGCGTCTGTTCGCGCCCGCGTAGTTGCGTGCGACGATCATCCAGGGGCAACAACACAATGGTTTGCAGCAGATTCTGGTGTCGCCGTAAAGTAGTGGGCAGATCGAGGCCTGAAGAGGATAACTGCTCCGAGGGGGGCGGCGCCGTTCCGCTCCGGGAGGGATGGGACCCGAGGGACGGACCCGCGTAGAAAAACGGCCTCTCCTTCCCGTGGAGGGTTTAGTTTTCAACGTCTTAGCGGGCCGTACCGTTAAAGACTGGAGAATTGAGTGTGAAAACCGTCGTGAAGAGGCTTCTTTTTTGCTGTTCTTTGGAGTAACTTGCAGCAAAGACTCGAGAATCTGGGATCTTGTTTCGTTTCAGGGACGTACGAGCATAGTCATCCTACGGCCGACAAGCCGAGGCAAGGCTCCACCACATCAACCGGCACTTGCAACGTTGTCCAGCTCGTTCTGGTTAAAGCGGCCCGCTTAGAGTGCTTACCGATGGAACCGGCGCCACGGAGCAGGGACGAACTGATTCAGACCCTTGCTGAGTCGCAAAAAGAGAATCAGATGTTGCTTCTTTGGGGCGAACTAGTTCTCAGGTCAGGCCAGGTTCGGCGAACTTGACTTGCAGGTTATTCAAGAGTAGAGGTTGGCCCACTCGTAAAAATTGTTCATGTTTCTTTCTCTTTTCAGATAATATTGTTTTTCCTTTGTTGTTTCATTGTTGAAAAGACATGCCTTCTGATTCTGTGCTTCCTGGTCTCCCGGGCTTTGACCCTGAGAATATCCAACCATGGACTGTCGAGGTTGTCGTGTGCATGACGGTCCTGGCACTGGCTTCAGTCGGCTTACGACTGTTTAGTCGACATCTCAAGGCGCAGCAACTATGGTGGGATGACTATACCATCATATTCTCAATGGTGAGTAAAGTTTTGCATCAGTTATGAGTGTCACGACTCACACTTTTAGGTGTGGAATCTAGTAGTCGTCGGTTTCATCTTTGCCATGCACTCGTGCGGTATGGGCCTCCACGCCGATAAGGTCGATCCCAAGGACATTGTCATGATGGCAAAGTGGTTGGTGGTGGCTGAAGTGCTCTACGCCTGGAACCTTGGCTGGACCAAGCTGAGCCTGCTGCTCATGTACTACCGCATCTTCCGAGTCCCCTACTTCAAGAAGATGGCCTGGATCGTCAGCACTTTTGTCTTTGCCTGGGTCATCTGCATCACCTTCCTCTTCATCTTTATCTGCATTCCCGTCGAGAAGCTTTGGTATCCGGATGTTCCTGGTCGCTGCATCAACCAGGTCGGTACCTGGATCGCCAACGCCGCAAGCACCATTTTCACCGACGTCGTCATCCTGATGCTGCCACTGCCGCCCATCTGGAAGCTACAACTGGGCAGGTCTGAAAAGATTGGTCTCACCACTGCTTTCGCCCTCGGATTCTTCGTCGTCTTCGCCTCAGCCTACCGAACGAGCGTCCTCTTCACCTACAGCAACTCTGATCCTACGTATACGCTCGCCCCGACGGTCGGTTGGACGGATATCGAGATGTCGGCAGGCATTGTCTCGGCGAACCTACCGACCATGTTGCCAGTCCTGAAGCTCGTTGCTCGGTTTACCGGACTCAGCAGCATTGCGTCAACTGTTCGCGCAGGTTCAAGACCTACTTTCGGATCCAAGGGGGACAGGAGTGCCCAGGGGCTAGCGTCGCGGGAGGATACCAACAAGGGCACTAGATCCAACTCCAACACCAGCAGCTCGAGGGGAGATGACTTTTATCGACTTCCCGACGAGACCGACTCTGATGGATTGATGAAGAGTTCAGGATTCGGAGACCTAGCCACGGCGTCGGATGCTAAGCTGAGACCCGACACGAAGGGCTATGAGCTCACAGTCAAGACGTACAAGTCGGACCCTGGTAGGGATGATGATAGCGGAGAGGGGATTCTCTTGCAGGGTATTCGGGTGCAGAGGGAGTTTGAGCAGACAACTACGCGAAAGCAGTGAGGGAACGATCAAAAGACTGTATTTGGATGAAAAAAAGCGTGAGAATTAGCCAAAAATGTAGACAAAAATAATGCAATCAACAAAACAAACCATCAATCCCTTTGTCAAGATAGTGAAGCCTTTGATTTCTCGTGTTCAGGGTGTTCCAACTAAGGCTGGGGTTGATTCCTATCCATCGCGGGAGGGGGGAGTGTCCGTTGGATCCGTCCATTTATTAAGGTGTTTACGAGTGCAGTGCCCACCTGCGCAGAAGTGTATAGGACGCAGAACTGATCTAGGAGAGAATCCTGCCAAAACATTGTCTTTTTTTTCTGTCAATAGCACAATATAAACCACGTATTATCCTGCAGGGTATTCTGGTGCAGAAGGAGTTTGAGCAGACCACTACTCGGAAACCAAAAAGATCAACTCTCGCGGTCCAAGTGGGCTGGGTGATTGATAAAAAAAAAGGTGGAAGCATTTAACGCATAGACGAAAGAAACAGAATAAATTCAACATCTAATACTCTCAAACAAGCTAATAGGTTTCGCAAGCAAGGCTCATTCAGTCTCACAGAAGCACACAGGACCCAAGATTTCGTCAAGAAAACAGTCTCTCGGATCTAGAGAAAACTGCCCCAAGTACCCGGGACAGCTATCGCCCAACATATGTACCGAGCCTGCCAAGGAATAAAGTATTCGAAAAACCTATCAGGTGAATGGGGCATCTCCAGACCAGACGACTGAGCCTCCAGGCTGCTTTGGACGGCTTTGATCTTGAGTTGGATCTCTCCGGGGCCGCCCAAATGGGGCCGGTGGGATTTGTCCTCGCGAGCAAACTCCAGCTTGAGCATAAGAATCCGGCCAATGTAGCCTTGAGAATTTGCCTTCTGGGCCACCTTCATAGCATCGTCGAGATGTCCGCTGTCGGCTCTGTTAGGCAATCCAAATCGCAACATAGCTATTCATCTACTCACAGAGCGCGGTCTTGATCCCCAAGCTGCATCTCCGTTAAGGACGGCTTATAATAACAGCCACATGTCATATGGGTGTTCTTCTCAAGGATGTCCTCAGTGTAGGCGTCCAAGCAGGATTGGTAGTTAGCCCGCGCGTCCTCGAGCTTATTCTCAGCAAGGTTGAGGTTTCCGAAGCAGCTCGATAGCGCGCTTGTACAGTAAATTATCTTTCCCCGAGTCCAAGATGTCGCGACTTCTTCTCAGATGTAGTCGTGCGTTTGCAAACTCCCCGAGTTGTGTAAAACACCGACCATAGTTAGCCGCGTATCGACACGAGGCCAGTCGCCTGTCTTGCGCTGAAACTCCCATACTCTCTTCTTCCGCTTGCTGATATAGCTTCAGGGCCACATCATACTGACCTTGTGCCGCGACGATTGATGCCAGGTTCATCTTGACGCCAGTGGTTTCCAGGTGCGCACTTCCCAGTGCCACTATGCGAATATTGAGACATTCCTCGAGTACTTTTCGAGATGAAGAGTACTGGTATGTAAGCTCTTTGACCACCCCCGATGTGTTCAGTAGATGTGCTGTAATGATCTTATGGTCGGACCCGGCCGCTTCCAAACCAATGTCAACCAGCTCCATTGCACTGGTAAAGTCACCTGTTTCGCGAAAATGCCTATTGTTTTTAGATTAGCCGCTTCAACTCTCCCGCAGGCAGTGCATACCAAGCCGCATTAGACAGAAGCTCAAGGAAGTCCGTGAGCGCGTTGAAAGGATGGCCTTCTTCAGCAGCGCAGCGCCAGTTCCTAGCTAGGGCCTGGGCATGTAGGATATATTTGGAACAGGTCGGCCAGTGGTCATAAAGCATGTCTCATTGAGAATGGACCTATCAGCCAGCTCCCTAACAACGTCGTTGATGAGTGTCGATACGTTGGATTGGAGCAGGGAGGCCACTTCAGCCAGAGTCCACAATACTCGTTCCGCGAACGCTGCGTCATTTCGGAAATCTGCATGAAACAGGCGAGAAAACGCTGTCTCATGTTTCCGTGTCAGTTGTCCATGTATGTAGCCTAGGTAGATCATGATGTCTCCGGTGTCGCAGTCTGCTTTATCGCCATTGGTGGTTCCTAGAAGTGCTTCACAAACGGCACACTGCAGCTCCTGTGAGAGTACCTAGTATTGGATGTCAGTTTGCGTTATCCGTTTGCGATCCCGATGCAAACATACCTTGGTTGACATTCTGCCTGCACTCAGGCCTGCCGTGTTCTTCAAAGCGTCCCGGAACGGTACCCCATCACTTGTCTCCCAGGTCGGGATGTTGGCGGATCGTGTGTATCATATACCCAGCGGCCTCTACAAGTCGCCAGCCCTTGGCGTGATAGGGCAGTTTCCGCTTTTCCACGGGTTGCTGACCTTGGCGTAGTTCCCATGGTCAATGAGGGCTGTAGCTTCCCTGCGAGGTTTCCGAGAAAATAGAAGCCACCATCAGCCTCACTGTTGCTTCCTGAGAGCCTGCCAGCCGTCCAGGATTGTGGCATCACTTGATTGTACATGCCTCATTTATCAGGCGTGACCAATTACTCATTGCCACACCCACCACCAATGCAGCCTGCAAGCCACCTGGGCAACACCTGCCCGGTGAGAAGCCTGCTTTCCGCTCCCATCACGCGCCCCCTCAATTGTCATTGCGGTCAGGAATCACATTCAGTCCCTGTTCTATATCAACAGACTCCAATCAGTGAGTTCTGCGAGGCCAGGATTTCTCGAGCAAGATGGCACCCAACAAGCAGCCTGTACTGTTCGACGTGTTGACGACTACGGCGGATGACCTTCGCAAACGTCTCGAGGCAGGAACCATCACCAGCCTGGAGATTGTAGAGTCGTATCTCTCACATATTGAAGCGCACAACACCACCGGCGCCAAATGCAGGGCCATCATCTCTACCCCTCCCAGATTTCAGCTTGTCGCCTGGGCTGCTCGGCTCGATGAAGAACGCCAACGAGGGGACGTGAAGGGTCCTCTTCACGGAATACCCATTCTCCTCAAGGTATCGACTTCGTTCTCCTCTCTAGTCTTCCTGTTACGTTGCTAATCCGGGCTTCGGGCAGGACAACATTGCTACTGACCCGTCTCTCGGGATGCCAACAACCGTTGGATCCTATGCTCTCTGGGACTCCTGCCCAGCGGGCAATGGCCCAGTCGTCGAAAATGTACGTCACGCCCTCCATCAGTCCATACCTTCTAACAGAAACTTCTCAGTTGATCGACTGCGGCCTCATCATTCTTGGAAAAGCCAACATGACGGTAAGTCTTCGGACAAATAAGGCCTCAAGATGTGCCTCGAGGTAACAGTATAACAGGAGTTCGTGGGGATGAAGTAAGATCGATTGCATTAGGGCTATGGCTCCCTCTCATGGGGCTGACTGACGTGAACAGAGGCGTGAGTGGGTGGTCCGCGGTCGGGGGGATGTGCGAACCTGCGTATATCCCTACTGGTTACAAGATCGGAGAGAAACCTCGCGGTGAAACTGTAAGGCTCTTCAAAAAGGTTTCTTTCATTACATTAACCCGCTGACTATAGACACCTGCCGGCTCTTCGACTGGATCTGCAGTGGGCGTCGCCTCTGGGTTTGCCCCAATTTTTGTGGGAACCGAGACATCTGGGTCCATGGTATCTCCTGCTGCTGTTGCAGCTCTATATGCACTCAAGCTCACGCCAGGCTCCATCCCGATGACTGGGGTTATGGAATTGACTGCTTGCTTTGACACGCTAGGCGCTTTTGGCAAATCAGCATTGGATGTAGCTCTCGCCTGCGATGCTCTTCTAGCTTCACATAGTGGGACGAGTCTGGCATCGTCCGTGTCATCTATGAAGCTTGAAGATGTTTCGGTGGGCTTCGTTGACATCGAAAAGTGGAGGCTGCCTGCCGGCACTCAGGTTGACGATCCGAAATACTTCGAGCAAACCGTAAGTACATGCGACTGGCGCATTTTGCTTCTTTTCCAGTCAATCAGGGATGCAGCTTGCTCATACTTCACAGGCCCGAGAGTATCAGCAAGCAAAGGACATGCTGCGACAGAGTGGTGTCAAGGTTGTCGACGCATACATCATCCCTCCAGAGGAGTACATGATAGGTGACATAAGCGTCGACGATTTGATGGACAAGATCATTAGTAGGGAATTCGAGCGAGAAAGACGATGGCGATAATTAGCCTACTGACTTGTTTCAATAGGATGCCAAGGAAAGAATGGTATAGAGCGCTACCTCAAAGCCCTCAAATTCTCCAAGGTCAGAACTTTGGAGGAGATCCTCCAATTCAATGAAGACCACGCGGAAGTTGAGCTTGACAAAGGTATGGCACTTAATCGATCCTCCGGAGCATATCTGACGCGTGGCATTAGGCTACTGCCCAAATCAAGGCGGGCTCTCGGGGCTCGTCACGGAATCGAAGCCGGATGATGAAGTTTCGGAGTGGCTTGAGGAGTGCAAGCGTTGGGCGGCTACGGAAGGAATCGACAAAGTCACTTCAGAGCAAGGTGTGGATGTCGTCGTGTGTTGCTCAGACAGCTACTTTGCAGGCGTCTCAGTGGCAGCGCGTGAGTGCAACACGTCTCCTCCACTAAGCAAGTTCTGACCAATGCAGGATACCCGATGGCGGCGGTTCCTTTAGGGTACATTGAGAGTAGCGGACGACCATACGGCCTCCAGGCCATCGCCCCAGCCCATCAGGAGGCCAAGTTGGTCAGGTTCATGGCGGCATGGGAGCGCGTCTTTCCGCCGAGACGGGTCCCGGATCTAGAAGCGTGCGAGAAAGCGAGGGTCGGTTTGAATGATTAGAAGTTCGGATCGCGCCGCTCCGAGGATGATAGCTGAATTGACCCTATAATCCATGTGTTCCTGTCGACGGTCCCGGTTTCTGACTCGCCCGCTGGGGTCACGTGATCAGGAGCGGCTCCGGTCAGCTACCAGCCAGAAAGTCACCGCTCGTGAACCACCTTGTACCTTCACAGCCTCAAGTTGTGTTCTGACCGTGTTATTCTTGTTGGGTTGCTCCGAGGCCTCTGCCCCCTGGCCTTGTGTAGCCTTTTGAACAAGTACCTTCACAGCCTGCTCGTCCGTCCGCGGTTCCCCCTATGTACTTGACGAAGCTGCGCCCGACGCCCGCATTGCCTCTCACAGGGAGAAGAGGGGCCGAGGTGTGTCCCGTTTCTCTGCCATTGGGTGCTCGTACAAATTGGCGAATGAAGATGAGACGTTTCACGCCCGAACCGCATTCCCCGGACCAGTGAGCGGCTTGCGCGGAGCGCCTTGTTGATACACAGGCCTTGACGCGTGATCTCACAGAAGAAATGAGAGGAGGCCTTTGGCCTGTTCAGTGATTCTTACTACTACACACCGGGGAGCGTCTATAAAACCCGAGCCCCTCAGAACATGTACTCTGTTTCCTCGCTGAGGACTCAGGAAAGCTCAGTATCGACGAGGTAAACTCGATGAATGCTGAAGCCATGTCCTTCACCAAGACATATTTCCTGTGTCCGACATGCGATTTCATTTTTCCACCACCAACGGGCCCGCTATGCCTTGGGTCTATAATCCGCTCCACGTCAGCACCGCAATACCCTCTGAACAGAGCGAGTGTTGTTGCCGTGGCCAATGCATTCCCGCCTATCGTGGAGACGGACTGGAAGAAGACTGTCTCGGCTGAAAAGGGGCTCGGACTAGGTGTCTACGCACAATTCTTGCAGCTGGCCACCGGTGGACTGCCCCTTGGTCCCGAGGTCGAGGTCGAGCACTCGAACAAGATGAAGAATACCTTTGCCTTCGACACGATGACGACTCTGTCTTTCGAGCCTACCCAAGAATATGTCGAGCAAGCTGTCAAGGCACCAGCCGTGCAGGCATGGCTGCGGGAGCCCAGGCAAAAGTTTGCGCTCGTCAACACGCTCTTCCTCGTCACGGGCATGAAGCTCGTCAAGGGCGCCAAGATCAAGTACTCGACTTCGCAGAGCACGACGGTCAAGGGGAATCTCGGCATCGACGTGACCGCGCTGGGCACGACCTTTGGCCCGAAGGGGCACTGGACCCGCGCCGACGAGGACGCGGTCGAGTCCACTCGCGAGGCGGAATTTGTGTTTGCGTTCCGCGTCAAGAGGCTCAAGTTTGGGCGGAGAATGAAGCTGGAAGAGTACAGTAAAGGCGCCTTTATGGCCGTTGGTGGCAAGGCAGATGAGGACGAGTGTGTCTTGGTTGAGGACGTGGATGGAGCTGGTATTGAGACGGCTGAGGCTGTTCCCGATGAGACCGAGAATGGAAACGTCTATTGCGTTCCTGCTTGATTAGTTGTCGAATCTTGGATCGCAAGTGAGGAGCCGTGTTCAGTATACAAGGTGCAATTTTGTTCTGTGTACAGGGCTACTTCTGATATCTGTACATGGTCCTCTTGATATCCCTGATTTTCCTATAAACATCCTCCTCTGTCGAACCGCTATCGAAGAGAATCTCAGGCGTGATGTAGTCATAGCCCGGGCCCCGCCTTCGTCTGACCATACTATTAAAGACCATGTCCATGGAATTGTCCCTTTTCAGCCACTGTCCCAGTCTTTCACTTTCTACAGCAACTTGCCGATCCTGGCGACGAACAAAGGACAGGACCGACGCAGCTAGACCAGCGGCGATCGGTGTGGCCACCGACGTGCCTGAAAGAGACCTGACGGGCTGGTTGTGTCCGTTCATGCCAGCGGGCCAGTGGGAAGAGACTTGCTGCCCAAGTAGACTGTAGTTGACGTCCTTTTCACTTGCTGTAGGGTTGAAATCGGAGGGGTTGCCGTTTCCGTCGGTTGAGTGTATACAAAAGACGCCGGGATACTGAGCTGGGAAAGCTCTGTCAAGGTTCGCCCCGTCATTCGATGCTGCCGCGAACAATAGCGTCCGCTCATTCAGTGCGTTGGCTATAGCGTTGCTCATGGGCTCGTTATATTCACGGATGCCGAACGACATTGATATAATGTCCACTTTCCATTGTTTCACTGCATGATCAATAGCCTGCATAATCCGTTAGTCTAGTCCAACAGGTCTGCTCTGGTGTGGAATCAATCCCGCCTTTGTAATGTCATTGAAGGTATTAGGGTCCAGAGCTTCCCGGCGCGCAACTCTGGCGACATAGATCTCAGCGCATGGGGCAACTTTGAGAAGAAGACCTAGAGCATGAGTGCCGTGTCCGATCTCGTCTCGAATCTCGTGTGGCTGTGTTCCATGTACAAAACTTAGCGCTTCCTTGATTTGTGGGTTGGCTCGTTGTTGATCCTCGATCAGGAAGGGGTTTGTAGTGTCGAGTCCGGAGTCCAAAATAGCTATTCGCACAGGTTCGACAGGATCGAGAACAGGATTAACATAGCGAGAGATCGAAGATAGTAAATTGTCCATCCATCTTTCCGAAAGGGGATTTCTAGCGGGTCATTAGTACGACAGAGACTTGTAGTTGATGGGGAAACAACCCACTCTGATTCAGGTCCTGGGCCCATATGGAGACTTGCATCAAAGAAATGCAAGCTCTTCCCTGAAGGCTTGGCAAGGTGTCCTTGGGCTTGTGGTCCCGGAGAAGGCTGTCCCGACAGCCGTAGCACCATATCCGAGTGGAGATAGCTCACAGGCGCGCTGTCAGTAGACATTGATCGATGCCAGGTTCCCCTTGCAGAGGCATCGTTTGCCATCTGGGAATCGACCTGACCCGCGTGGAGGCGGACAACCTCCCGACCGATAGGACCCCAACATGACTCGTTGCTTCGAGCGTCGGATGAACCCAGATCCCCTAATCGAATGCCCCATGCCTTGAAGATCACGTTTTCAAGTCGTTTGACGACGTTCTGGTAGAAGAGCCGCTGGACAATAACATCGTCAAACTCAACTTGCTCCCCGATTGGATAGTACTCCCCAGTAAGGCATGCTTTCGTGGCGAGGTAGTAGTCGACGCCAGCGTCGTCTTCCAGAATCTGAAGCTTATCAAGACAGGTGTAGCAATCATCATTGATGTTCCTGGCGCCAGGAACTCCAGCGGCGGGTGTTTCTTCCGCCATGAGCTCGACAGGTGTGCAGAAGTGAAGCTCGCACAAAAGAATGCCCAGTGCTAACACGCTGGCGTTGGGGTGAAATATGTGTTTCGAGGCATCTCCGGTGTCGGTGGTACTGCGGGCTGGCATGACTGGAACGTGCTCCAGAGCCAGGAATGGTTTCGTGATGTCGGGGAGTTCTCCATTCTGCCGTGGCTCAAAGAATTGTATCTTTGAATGATTGAAGGAGAACTGCAGCCATGGTGTCTCCAGAAAGGGAAGAAGAGCTGAAGCCAGGGTAGCAGCCAATACTGCCCTTCCCTTGAATGGCAGCACCGATTTGCCACCAGGTAGTTCTTGCTGGCGTTGGAACAAGGCCGACAAGGATACTGTGCTTGACATTCGGTCACTCCCAAATGTCTTTTGTTGCGGACGAAGTCTCTGAAACACTCCATCCTCGAGAGCGAAATGCAAGCAATTTCGTTGACCGATGGACTCGGTGATGCTTTGGCATAGTATGTGGTGGGCAAAGGCGGGTTGATTGCTCAGTATCGGGTCAGATGAGCGCCTGATGAGGCTGTTGTGTAGGTCTCTGCACCGTCCGTGTTAGCGAATAGAGGGAGGCCAGGCGCTTGATCACACAATGCTTCGAGTGCTTACTTGACCGTGATTCTGGCCTCCTGCAGAATACTAGCTGGTACGGACCGTACGCCGAAGAAGACTTGGAAACTGGCCTCAGACTCGAGGTTGGCCCCCTGCTTGTGTTGTGGCAGCGACAGTCTCACGCTCAGCCCTGAGCACTTCTGGCACACACAAACCCAGTGTCTTCGCAACGCATTGTCCAAGGACACCAAATGTCTCCTCATCAGCACGGCAAAGTTGGCATCGGGGTCGTCGAGGCTGGACTCGCGAGTTGGCTCTTCGCGAGGCAGAACTCGGCGCCTCTTCCTATCTTGCTCCAATTGCGAAAGTTCCTGTATCGCATCGTCGCACTCCCGTCCCCGCTTACCAACGCGAATGGCTGCACCTAGGTCGGCATGCGGATCGCGACTTGGATTCTCGACCATGCGGCGAAGATTCGGAAACCGCTCGTTTCCATCTTGTTCGAAATTCTGCTCGGGCGACTATCGTTAACAGGCAGGAAGTGAGGGGGTCAACAGGCCGAAAGACGTACGAAATCCATCTCTCGATGAGGGTCGTCCTGAACAAGATGTTCGAATGCGCGCAGAGTCCTTTTGACGCTCGCTGGGTCGGCTTCGCGAACATCATCACGCTGCATAAATGAATCCGCGCGAAGCCAGGCCTGGCGCTTCCGTGATTGCAGTGACGCCGGCTTTGCCGACCTTTGCGGTCGATTTCCAGAGAATAGTGCAAGCACGGATTGCAACAGGCTTGGGGCATCGGTGTCGTCGTCGTCCATGATTGATTGCGCATTTAAAATGATGGATTTGAGGATTGCAACCGAATACTTGTCCAACGTAACGTTGGCCGGACGAACATTGGCAGATCACCTAGGTGCTATATACTGGTCTGTCCCGGATCAGGCTGTGCTACGCTCACTCCCAGATCCTCAGGACCCCGTCACAGCTGCCCGCCTGGGCGCATATCCCGTTGAGGGGTTGCCGCTGACCATGGCAGCCTTGTCGGGCTGTGTCTGCCTTGACGGGCTGTTTATACAAGCTTTCCTCCTTCATCCCCACAGCGGAGAGATGGTGCCTTTTATCCATCTTAGAAGAGGCCTTGTTGAGGTTATCGCGGCGGCATCTTTTGGCGGTTGTAAACTATAGTGGCTAGTCTTGAATCTTGGGTCCAGGCTCAGTTGTATTTTGGCTGTGTTATTTCCGTTGGGTTGCTCAGAAGTCTACCCCCACCCCCTTCTTCGAGCCCCTGACCAAGCCTTGACGGGCTGTGTCTGCCCCCCTCCCCCCAAAACACGGCGTGTCCTTCCTCCGCGGTGGACGGGGGAGGGCCCTTCAGCTGCCTGGGAGGAAATCATGGGCGACAGACCTGTCGGAGAATCGACTGCAGCACTCAAAGGCGCCGGCGGAGGTCCACCCTTCACACTCTACCTCTATGAGGTTGAATTATTCTTCAACACTCCAGCTCTCGAAGTATAAAGAAACACAGGACAGGACACGCCTCACATTCTCAGCAAATCGATCATCTCTGCCATCACCACCTCCAATAGTAGGTAGGTACAACCAGAGAGCCGCACCGCAAATACATCAATTCTGTCCATAGTTAGTACGCCAAATTGTGAATTTGTGCGCGATTACAGGATCCTGAGTGCGCATCGCGCAATCCTTCATACACCCAGTATGCGATTCATCATGTGTTCAACCTCCGGCAAGGACCGCAGATGCTTCTCGACGCTTTGTTTCTCCGCGCTCAAACCGTACTGCTTCCCAATGATCAGGCACTCTATCAGAGCCTTGCAAGCCCGCTTCTGCAGCGCTCCCGGAGGCTGCTGGGCTATCAATGCCGCCATCTCCTCCGGGATGGCCTCACCAATGAGCCACCGGTGGGCGGCGGCGTTCTCCTGGCAGAGGATCAAGCATGCGGCCGAGGGTATGTTGAGAAAGCGGTCCTGTCCATTCTCTTTGGCCTGCTGGGCGCACTGGAAAATGGTGTTCAGGATGTGACGCAACAAGGCAGAGTCTCGGCTGTCGCTGGCGACGCGCAGCTTCTTTGCGTACGCCTGGTTCGCGTCGCTGAACAACCCAACCTCGTAAACGCTGCCGATGTATCCTTCAAAGAACTCAGCGGTGACCCGGGATATGTACTCGATCGGCCCTGGTTTCTGTTTGTCGAGCATGGCGAAGTGGACCGTCATGAGTAGGGTCGTTCGGAGCACGTTCTCTTCCCGGTTCTCATTCCGGATACAACCATCGAAATCGATCAGGAATTCTCTGATGCCGAGGTGGAAGTACTCTAGAGAGTCCCTCTCGTAGGCGATGGCGGCCCAGTCTGCGATTGCCGCAGATGTGATGTCGTCTCCTGGCTTCCATCCTTCTTGGACAGCTGTGGATTTCGTCTCCATGCCGGTGAAGGTCATGATGACCACCAGTGCCTGCATATCTCCGGGTGTGACCCTCTGCAAGCAATATGTCGGCAGGTCGCCCATGGCCTGGAGCTTCCTTGCACTCTTAGCATACACCAGCCCCGCGAGGAACACATGGTACGGTTTTGCCCATGCCCGCATTTGCTTCATCTTGTTCTCCTGGATCAGCTCCCGCAGGACAGGCAGACTGTCCATGCGGTTCAATGCCATGTACTTGAAATAGAGGGTCATCAATTCAAGGACCAGAGGAATGCGGATGGATAGGACCAGTCCCTTCGTGACCAGGTCCACATCTCGCGTCGTATGCTTGAAGCGCGCATTCAGGACCTGCTCCTGGAGCCCAAGTAGCTCTGTCACCCGTTCATCCAATGGAGCCGTAGGCGGCCTCAGAGAAGCAACTCCCAGAAACGATGACAACTTATCCACGCGCGCTCCTTGCTTGAGCAGTTCCTCCGTGATTTCCCTCGAGTTCCCCAAAATGGCTCGCACCAATGGGGTGTCCGTGTCGCCAGTCTCCCCCTTGGCCTCGATGCGGGCACCGTGCTCGAGCAGTACCGACACAACGTCTCTGTGTTGACCGATTACTGCTATGTGTAAAGCAGTTAACATGCTTCGATCCTTGAAGTTCACACGTGCCCCATGTTCAAGCAGGAGCTCCACCATTTCTCGGTGACCTCTGTTGACTGCCCAGTACAAAGGTGTCCGGCCGTAATTGTCCTTCCGCGAAATGAGGCGGGCATGTGTGCCGAGTAACATTTTGGCCCAGGGTACGTTTCCAAAGTATGCCGCCAGATGCAAGAGAGTGAAGGTGGGCGGGCTGCCGCCGTTCTTCTCCTGCTCCCAGTAGACTTTCCACCATCCTGTCCGGATGGGAGAGTCCACTCGAAAGAATGGACGCGAGAATTCTGTCGCTGAATCGATCACATGAATGGCGTGGTGGAAATGCACCGGCCAGTACTGGCTGGCGTAAGATAGGAAGGGATCCTGGCCGGGCGTGCTGGAATTTCCGTACCCGCGTTCTACGTGAGCCAAACAAGTCTGCATGAGTTTCCTGTGGGTTTCCTGGCCCATATGGAACATGTCGATCCCTTGGATGTTGACTTGATCGCTCTGGAAGAATTCTTTCGCCGATTCGTGAACCAGATTGACGACGTCTCCTTCGACCTTGACGAGCAACCCGCCGACCCTAAGCCGCCTCCGGGTCACTTGTGTTGCTGGAATAGTACCAGCCGCCTCGACTCCAGCGGCCACGGCCAATTCTTCCAGTGTGAGGGGCCGGGCAGCGAGAACAACCCATTGAAGAATGGGGACCAAAGCTTCCTTGTCGTCGACCTGCCGAAGAAGCCGCTGATAAATCCCACTCAGGCCTTTGGGAATTTGGCGGAGCACTTCATCAATCTTGCTCCAACTCCGGCCCTGAAGCTCATTGGCAACGAATGCAACCCACAGAAAGGTACCATCGGCTCCAGCTAGCAGGGTCTGCTGAACCTGCGCGACCATCTCTTCGGAAAGGTCTTGCTCGGATGCCAGTTCGGTGACTTTGGCAAAGATGTATCTCTCGACATCATGCGTAGTTTCCGTGTCGGAGGCGTCCAACTGAATTTGCGGATAGTGACCGAGTTTGCTCTCCAACACAGACGGCTGAGGTCGGGAGAGAATAATGAGCTTCAGTCGTGGCTTTGCCCCTTCCCCAGACTTGGACAAGTAGCTTCCAACGGCATCTAGAAGCTGTCTGAGCGATTCCTTCTCGCACTCGTCGAGACCATCGAGGACACAGACTACCTGAGAAGATGTGGTCTGCTGGAGCAGAGTCAGGAAAACCCTCCACAGCGCGACAAAACTGGAAATTGTGTACTTGGTCGTATCCGCCCCCTCGAATGAGTTCTTGACTTCTTTGGCCAGGTGGGGCTGGAGGCCGATCCATTGATGCAGGATGCCTCTCAATATGGTCAATGCCGTGTTCCGATTCTTGTCCCGATTACTGCAGAAGTAATAGAGGAGAACATTGTCACCAGCGTCAACCAGTGGTTGTAGCACCTCGGTGATATAAATCGCGAGCATTGTCTTTCCTTTTCCAGGGCCACCTGAGATCCAGAGGAGTTGTTGGCTCGTATCTGCCAGCCACTCTTGATAATGGTGATGCTTCGTAACCCACTCGCAGGTTCCATCAACCCTGCGTCCCTTCAGTGCAATGAGGGACTTCCGATCAACGTCCGGTCTTGTCAGGAGTAAGGCGTCAAGAACGGGCGCGGCCTCGGCATACGCGTTTGCGGCCAAAGGTATCGTCTTGGAGGCGGCGGGCACGAATGACAGGACCTCTCTTGCGTATGCTGCTGCGGTCGCTGCAGCCCAGGCATGCCAGATATCTAAGCTGTGCGAGTCTGCGTAGTCGCTAATTCCTCGAATGACCAGGTACTGAGCGGCATCCCTCAACCCAGTTGCCTCTTTCTCGAAGCAGAGAATATCATGCTTGCGTGCGAACTGGTCCCGTCCTGCTCCGTTGCGCGTCAAATGACGGGTGGAGGCAATTGAGCCATAATGAACAACGGGATCCTGTACTTCACGCGGCTGCCTTGATCGGATCTTATCCGGGTCGCAATGACTGCATCCACCTTTTTCAGATCCATTGGTTGCATGATCATAATTTGCGTCGAAGAGGATGTCTTGTTCTGGGCCAGGGTGGGCAAAGGTGACTGGATCTTTCTGCACGATCTCGGAGATATAGCGGGGCATCTTGCTTTCTTCAAAGATGGCGGCTGTCTGGGCCTTCCCCATAGCTGTGAGAAGCAAAAGTGTCGGCTGATCCAACGGTTTGCCGAGAGCAATCTGATCTTTCGCTCGTTCCCCGTTCACGTCGTACTCGAGGACACCCGACCACCCAGCTGACAACTTGCTGACAACAACATCACCGAGACGAACATCATCCTTCGTGTCGGGCACTCCTCCCGCGATGCCTACCATCAGATTGAATCGGACAGATGGGTAGCTTGCATGCAACTGTGCGGTCACGTCGGCCAGTGACGATTTGCCGTGCACCTTTGGATATGCCACAACGACATTGTGGTGCTGAAGATTCCCGAGAATGTAGTTGTTGTTGCCGTCTGGATCCTGATCCGTGGGTAGATTGTCATGGACACGATCGAGCGCTGCTTTGGCTGCGGCCACCTCGACAGGCAAACGGCAGACCCACCCAACTGCGTAGTCTTCACGGGACGCCATCTCCAGCCAGAGCGCAGGTCAAGAAACGAGAGACTCTGGGAGCGTCGGTGCCGATGCGTTGTGTTAGCCCGGTGCGTGAAGCTGCCTGAACGGTAGGTCCGTCCATTGCGCGACAGAGTCGCGACTTTTTAGGCCGTTCGCATCGTTGCCAGCCCGTCGTTAGTGCCCGTCGTTAGTGCCCGTCGTTAGTGCCCGTCGTTAGTACCCGTCGTTAGTAGCTAGGGCACGGGTCCATTATCGTTGCCAAGCACGCGTATCGCTGACCCCTCAATGCTGACTGCATGCTTGAGACGCATGGGGCCGGTGATGGAACAAGCAGGAACCAACCACGTCGAGTTATTTGAAACAGGATGTTCAGCTCAACGAGGCTGGCGCTTAGAAAGCCCAACCCCAGCGCTATCAACAAGTCAAAACTGGTTCAAAAGGCTACACAAGGCCAGGGGGCGGAGGCCTCGGAGCAACCCAACAAAAACAACAAGTCAAATCAAATCAAAGCAAGTCAAACGCAAAAGCAAACATCTCCTATTAACCAATAAGGGTATTTCAAGTGGAGAGCGTACTCGCTGACTTGTTCACAGCACTGCCCAACCGAGGAAAAGAGCCGCAACTTCGCAAGACACAAAAAAGCTACCAAGCAAAGAGGAAACGCATTTCTTCGATTCCATTCTTACTCACTCTCAAATTCCGGCCTTCACACATTACACATCACCAGGCGCGACAGTAAATGGCGTCCGCTCCCCGTCTCCGAGTTCCGACCAAGGAGCCAGAGGCGCGCAAAGGGCGGGGAATGGAAGACGACGCAGGACGCCCGGATCTTCTCTCGTTCGATGAGATGCCGGAATGGTTTCAACACGACAACAATCAGTGGATTCTTCACGGCTACCGGCCCATATCGGGCTCGGCTCGCGCCTCGTTCCGCAGTTGGCGGTATCTCCACAACGAGACGGTCAACATCTATTCCCATCTCATTCCGGCCGTTGTCTTCCTCTTCGGCGAGTGGTACATCTTGCAGTACCTTGCTGGCAAATATTCCAGAGTCACTAGCACCGATTTCATTGCTTTCTCATTCTTCATGCTTACGGCGACCATTTGCTACGCATTTTCGGCTCTTTATCATACTTTGATGAACCACTCTTACGACGTGGACCATTTCTGCCACCGACTAGATATGCTTGGTATCGGGATCTTCATAGTCGGTGACATTGTCTTGGGAGTATACATAATCTTTTGGTGTGAGACTACGCTACGCAATATTTATTGGTCTATGGTTAGTTGATCTCTATATGCTCGACTTTTTCTGTCCCAGGACTGGTAATCAGATCTAACACTGTCTTCATCGATCAATAGATTGGGGTTTTCGGGGCATTTACCATCATCACGAACATCCATCCCAAGCTCCAGAGCCACAAGTATCGCTCCATGCGAACAGCAGCGTTCGTGGCGACTGGCGCGTCCGTTGTGGCGCCTTTGATTCATGGACTCGATGTATTCGGGCTAGACCTGATGAACAAAAAAGCCTTCACCTATACTATGGTGGCAAAGATAGGCTGCCTTCTATCTGGAACCGCGCTTTATGCAGTAAGTCTCCCATCTTGCCCATACAGGAGGAAAATTGATCCTAATACACGTGATTCGAAAGATGAGGTTCCCTGAAAGTTGGTGGCCTGGAAAATTCGACATGTGCAGCTCCCACTCATTCATGCACATCCTGGTGGTCTCCGCCGCTGTTATCCAGATGATAGGGTATCTGGAAGCCTTCGACTATGCTTACTCAAATCTTACCTGCTCTGCCTCTTGAGTTACTACCTTTTGTAGAGCCTGTAACCACCGGGACGAGCGGCGACCTTCCAACCTAGGTAGCGCTGTTGGAGATTCTGGCAGCATAGTGCTTTTGGGAGCCAGGAATGTTGACATTTAGAACGAAGGAGAGAATATTCACTCCAGGGACCAAGATTCGTCAGCAATGGTTGGGAACGCTTGGAATTAAGGGCGTGGCAGTGTGTCAGTGGTCCGTTTTGTTGTTTTGACGTTATGGGGTTCTTCTCCGGAGAGATCCAAGAGGATCAGCATGTGCCTTGCCGGCTGCTAGTGCCCTCCTAGCCTCCCCCTTAGTGTTTAATTTAACAATTCTTTCACATTACGACAGGTTGTTTACCTAGCGAGCTATATTGTCGTGCGAGCGTTAACCTAGTGGATCATTAAATAAATGTTATAATATAGGCGACTCGAAAGCGCTGCCATTTCCAACGGCGCTGGGGCTCAGGATGACTAGCTACTGCACTGCTATTCACAAAAATACGGACACGGAGCTCATCACAACATTGGATTCATAGCTCGATCCGGCCATTACAACTCACGGCTGTTCTGTCGCTCCTCACACTCGCCTTGGAGACCGAGGTCACTATCTTCCACCCCAGAGCCGTCTGAACCAATCCGTCCGGCCTGATCTAGCCTTGCGCTTGTTATCGCTTTTTTGGTTTGTGGGCATTGGCGAGAGTGGTAGTTTATTGGAAGCGACATGATCCAGAGAAGGCGGCGTTGGCGAAACTGGAACAGGTGACGAAGGTCCATCCGGCCTACGGATTTGAAAGTTGTTTGGCTCAAACAAAGGCGACTTGTCTGCTTCGGGCGAGTGCGGTATGGGCTGCTCAGGTGGCTGGCTTCGCTCTCTTAATGCCCGACGAATCTGGCGTTCCACCTCTGGGTCGGTATCTCGTTTCCGGTATCCTGCTAGTTTGAGCCGCTGCAAAACGTCGTCATGCGAAATGAATTCTTCCCAGCTCTTCCGCCCCGTTGGAAGGATGTTGGGATCGGCACCGGAGCCAAGAAGCAGATCCATGATGGAGTGCATACTCTTCTTTGCAGCGTAATAGAGCGCAGTCCTCTTTCCAGAGTTCATGCCATTGATGTAGTGGCCCGATTTCAACAGAAATCTGATCAAGTGGGCGTTGCCAATGGCCACAGCATCGCGAAGTTCTGTGACGGCTTGGCAACAACGCGACTTGCTGAACGCCAGGTTGTTGATGGCCTTCTGGGAATGACTCGTTGGTCCGCGACCCAGCCATTCTTCTGCAGTGAGGCCGCTTTCGTCTACTAGGGCCTGAGGGTCTTCAATGATGGATTTGTCGAGCAAGATACGGACGGTGGCTAGATCTCGACTGTGAACGGCCAAATGAAGAACGGACCAGCCGTGGTTGTCCTGCAAAGAAGCGGTAGATCGTACGCGGTCGTCCTGAAGGAGGAGATCAACGACACGGGAGTGCCCCATGAAGGCGGCATGATGTAGCGCGGTCCAGCCGTGGCATGTTGACTTGAGCGGATCGACTTCCCCCCTCTTGAGGAGCGAGTTCACAATGAAAAGGTGCCCCCCATTTGCAGCGCAGTGCAATGGTGACGTACCGTAAGAGCTGACAGCATTGGGATTGGCCCCATGATCCAGCAAGAAACTTACGATCTCCTCATGGCCCTCCTCTGCTGCCCAATGTATCGCCGACCATACATCGCGATCACGATAGTTGGGATCCGCACCACGGCGGATGAGTAATTCGACAATGGGAAGGCTTCCGGAAGCTGCCGCTTCTTCCAAAGGCGTAGTCTGCTGCGTATTTTGGGCATCGTGCACACTGGCACCCCGATCCAGAAGCATTTGAGCAGTTGAAACCCGTCCCAGACTGGCTGCCCAGGCGAGTGCAGAACGTCCATCCGCGCTCGATGAATTGGCATCAGCGCCCATCGATAGCAGCTCAGCGGCGGCATCTTCTTGCCCAGCAACGACAGCCCAGAGAAATGGGCTGAACCCAGAGTTGTCAGTGATTCGTATGTCTGCACCATGCTGAACCAAGACTGCCACGCATTTGACCAGCCCCCTCTTCGCAGCGTAATGCAGAGGCGTTGAGCCATTTGCGTCCTTACAATCAACACTTGCGCCGCTCTGGATCACAGACTCAACCAAGTCCAGATCACCGGCTCGTACCGCGTGGTGAAGTTTCGTCATCCCCAATTCGTCTTTGTCCTCCAAGTCGAGTTCAGTCACCCGTGCACTTATTTCCTCCTCGTGGCGTTCAGGATTGTCGTCTGCATCACCAGTGTCATCGTCTTGGAAATCAAGGTCCTCGTCTTCCAGAATACTATACATGGATTGGCGTGCAACTCCGACAACCCCGGTTGGCCCATCGTCTTCTAACGGTTGGTCGCTCTCGACGTTCTCGGCGTTCTCATCATCGTCGCTGGGAAGTTTTTGCAGTGCAAGCAGAGCGATTTCCTTCATATGGCCGGCGACGTGCGACTGGAGAGCTTCGCTCGAGAAGACAGCGCTGGATTCGACCTTACCCGGGGGTTGGAAATCGTCGCCAAACGGACAATTCAGGACCTTGTCGAGGACTGGCCTCCGCGCCGCCCGGGAAAGCGTCCCGACGTGGGCTTCAGGCACTCCGTGCTCCGTTACGGAATGCTCCTGGTAATGTATCTCTTGTTCAAAGACGATTGGATCGTGAGATGGGGCTCTGCACTCCCATGCATACCCGTGAGCTGTCCGCATGTGGTTGGACCAGGCCTTTGACGTTTCGAACGTCATCGGACCGGTTCCCCCATGGTGACCTCCCCCTTGGCACTGTGAAAAGACACATATGAAAGGCTCTAGGTCTCCGATAACATGATTTCTGGTGTACATTAGTCACGCGTTCTTACGATATGATAGGAATGCCTAAGGATCCGAGCACTTGTGTTGGCCCTCTCTACTGCGTCGAAGTAGAGAGGTCTACTCCGTCGAAGGAGAGGGGACTACTGCGTCAAAGTAGAGTGAGTCCATTACAAGGTACTCGAGAGCCCAGGCAGAGAAAATAATCTACTTACTGCCACAGCAGGGACCTCGCAGTCTTTTTGAACTCAATGATGACGCCGCAGTAAATACACTGCCCATTTGGTGGTATGGGAGGGAACGACAATTTGTTGTTCACGAGTACAGATTTTGCGCGGGGGACTTCGGTCGTGGATTTGGCGTA